TTGCCCACTTTGATCAAAACCAATGTATTTTTTACTAGGGCTGAGCTGGGGCATGCCGCAGCTATGCCCACGTGCGGATAGCAGTAGCTCAGCCCGACATCTGCCCGCGCATCCAAAACAGGCTTAACTTGGGCGGAGCGCGGGCTGATCAAGCTGGCTGTGTCCTTCGGCTAACTGGAGTAAAGCCGGAGCTTAGCCATACTTGTTCGGCTGTTCGCGCATGCGCAGTTCTGCGCCTATCATGTGCAGCGTTTGTGACAGTCTGCGCGCTGTGCGACGAAACGACACACCGGTGTTGGGGCATTTGGTGGTTGATGTTTGGGCGCGTGTGCCAGCGTGAAGAAGGGATAAGTGCTCACTGCTCTTATCAAGTGGACTGGCATGGAGTTTTACGGTAGGTAAGTGCATTGAATGGTGCGCTTGATCGTATGTAAACGTCATGATTTAGACTGAGTTTGACGCCATTAAACATGAAGCTGAATAGCTGTTCAGCCTGGCGACTTATACCCTCGCTCAGAAAAGCTGTATTCCGTGCCTTTATATCTTTGTGAAATACCAGCACTTCTGACCCAGGAAAATGAAATACAAAACACAAATATTTATCTACTTATCACCGAGCACGCTCATTCTCTGTCCGCATTTAAAATCAAATGAACATTTTATACGGATCAATGAGAAGTGCTTTTACAGCATTAATGCATCAATAAGTTATTTTTAAAGCAAACATGCAAAGTAAATTAACCCTCGCCCGTATTGGTGTTTTTCCAGCCGCGAACGTATAAGGGGGGGGGGGGGGGGTCCGTTGGACCCCCCCCTTGCCGTTTCGCCCCTGATCGAGCTAGAGCTTCGCGGAAAAAACGAGCGTATTGCCCGTGACGAGAGGAAGCCGATGATACCTAATTTTAAGGTCCTAGGTCATTGGTTGACCTTGCAGGTCAGGTCAATGACCCAAAAGTCGGGGAAATCGGGACCTGTTAGAACGTCGTAAAGTGTGGCTGCTATGGGGTTTTTCGGGGCGCTGATCACGAATATCATATTAGTTTTGATCACAGATGATGTCTTTATGCATTAAGTCCAGGTCGGGTCAGGTCAGGTCAGGTCAACCAGTAGGGGTCCTGCCGGGTATTCCTAGTAGGTGTCAACCGCCTCTGACAGCTTCGTAGCATGTTACGAAGGTACCAAAACTACTTCGTAAACGTTCATATGGTTGCTAAATTCGAATTCAGCTCCAAAAACTGGCCTAGAAACATGTAAAACTCGAAAAAGTAAACCGAGGTCATCAAAGGTCAATGACCTGACCTGACCTTCAGGTGACCTTGACACCCACCCTTATGCATGGGGGCAACATCATATCACATGTTTGAACGCTTGAAACCACGAAAAGACTGCAAACGCGCGGCTAATGCGAGCCGACATACGCCGAATCGCGATTCCGGCCAAACATGGTCTCGAAAAGTAGGTCACAGGTCAAAGGTCATTGGGGTCAGGGTCATGAAATTTTCAGGGTAGGTGTAAAATTAATTAACGCGAGGGTACTGAAAGTTTCGTTGCGATCGGCCGCTTTTACGCGAGTTATTCGCGAAAAACCATGGGGGGGGGGGGGTCCGTTCGACCCCCCCCCCTATACGGGCGAGGGTTAAACCAATTAATCTCTTTTTCAGGTACGTACCATTAGAGCAAATGGTTCCAAAAAAATGGAATAGTTATACAAACCAGGACTGGGTGGACGCCGCAGTCACCCTCGCCAAGTGGTTTAGCGGAAACTGCCTGCTTATAATTAAGTAGGTATACCTACATATACGGAAACTGCGCCGAAAGCTGGCCGACCACCTACTGCAGATGTGTGTGTGTGTGTGTGTGGAGGAGCCAGACGCCTCCAAAGCTCCCATTCACCAGAGTGAAGTTCCTTATAAACGATTGTTTGCTTATTGCTTTATGTCTTATGAGCGATTACTTGCTGTCCTTACTTTATGCTTTTGGTTGAGTGTTTAACCAAGTATTATGAACGGGGAGGGAGGCTAGCGGGCCTTGTGATTGTTTTATAGTTTTGATGGCGTTTTTTCATGACTCATGCCATATTACTGCTGCAGTTTGCAGTCCACTGTTTCATGTATGTGTGTTTCATTTGACGTGTCTGTAGTCGTTTGAAATATACATTCAATCAAAGCCAACCACTACTTTCCTTTTGCAATGCTCGAGCCTCGATGACCGGTTAACAGAGCATATATGAGTGACCGTAACAATTTTAAATATGCATTGAAACCGCACAACCTGCTGAAAGTGCATTGGCTGCTCCTTGCTACTTGATCCAGTGTGAAGCAAAAGCAAGATGAAGTCAAGTCGAGACTTGAGAAAACAGGAGCCGTCACTCGAGCCGAACCCGAGCAAAGCCACAGCAGTTTGCAATGTATAAACCCCATTCACTTCTATGGCTTAAGTCGGGATAGACAGGGCACACAGAGTGGGCTTGCCGGAGTTCAGCCCGCTCGGGCCCAGAGTAATCTCCATTATATAAATGGATTCACTGCTCGGGCTTAAATCGGGCTAACGCCAATCGTCGCTCAACTAGGGCTAAACTACGGCTGTCCGGAGCTCGCAGAGCGGGCATACCTCCGGCAGAGCATGGGCTTTAGTCGGCGTTTTTGTGTCATACGCCGACTTTAGCCCAAGCCCTAGCCGACTTTAGCCCGACTAAAAATCTCGGGCAATCCGCACTTGAGCCTGCATGGGCCCGGAGCAAAATTGCTGGCTGGGCAATGGACCCCTTCCCTCCTATACGTTAGACGCTGGCAAAACACCAATACGAGCGAGGGTTAAAGGGACCCTCCCACCTTCAAAAAAGTCAATGAATTGGCATAAAAGTGATGTCGCTCGATTCAAAAAGAGCAAAACCAATATCTACTAAATTTCACCGAACAATATTCACCGGTGATTGAAATATCAGACTTTAAGGCACTTCTCGACGTTGCGAGTGCCGGAATCGCCGTGCAATTGTGAGCCAGGGACACTAGTTTGGCTATCTCAACTCAAATCTTATGAAAAGGGATGGTCAATAAGTTTCGCAATGCCCTCAGATCCAGAGAAGCTTTCACAGACAGATGAAACTTACAGGAGTCAGGACCTAGTATCCTGCAGAGGTCTCATAACTTGCTCGTCTTTTCAAAAGATTACCTCACGTCAATTTGATCATGTGTGCTATTGTGGCCTCGAAGAATGACCTCACCTAAGCAAAAAGTATAACATTCGATGACTCCCGTCCATCACAGACACAGTTAAAATTTATCCCATTCATTTATGCATACCAAATGGAGAGGTCGAATGTTTGACCTGAATTTATATCGGCGATATCGAAACTCGGAGATATAGGTTTAATATATTTTGTCCTCTCTTGTGTAGTATGTACTATGTAGTAAGTATGCCTCAAACCAATCGAGCAGTCTGTGTTAGCTGTGGCGAGCATTCAAATTTTTCGCTTGAAAAAAACTTGGTGACGACCTGACCTTGAATGGCTTAGGTCTGAAATGTGAACATGGTATCATATATGCGCAAAAAATGCATTATGCGCATTGCGCACCCTCCCGCCCCGGCTCAGGCTGAGCGTGAGGCCAGTGCTAGACGGTACGGACGTTTCTGCACGGTACCTACTCGGAAGCCACTTTATGGAAAATATTGCTGGATGTTTTAATCGTTAATTTAGGATGCCAAAGCCTCAAAATGCAGCGCAATATGGCTGATGTAAAGATGCCAAGGTTATTGATGGGCTTGGGCCCGATGAGACCTATTCATATAAAACGACAACAATTAACAGTAATCGGTCAGTGGGCGGACGTTAGACGGTCAGTGGACTTTCATCCATTCATTTGTTCATTGATCGTGGGTAGGTAGGTATGGGGTGGAGACACAGATACAAACATGGTATTTAAAAACGATGAGTGGGAATACACAAAACAACACATAAAAACAACCCTCAGTCCATCTACAATGGACTCAAAAGCGATTCGGCGTGGCGCGGGCTAACCGCCCGTGGAGCCTCGAAACAATCTCGGCTTTGGGCGTAGATGCATATTTGGTAAGCAACGCACACAGGTCACAACGCACAATCGACAATCGGTGCACCGGCGGGCAGACGCAGAGTACACATGACCTTATTGCGTTCGGCAGGTTCTACACAAGGGCTCTGAGAACGTCGAAACAGGGCTTCGGTGCGGCATACCCACACCTTTTTACGCCCAATTTAGGCGGCAGCGCACACAGTTCAGTAAAAGTGCAGGCGATTTCGACAGTATGGCCTAGTCTGTCTATGGTACTATCGAAATCGCTTGCACTAAAACTGTGTGCACTATATGTCCATATTTCGACGTAAAAGGTGTAGGTATATCATAGGCATTCCACGTTACGTAGGTGTCACGTCCCTAAGTAAGCTGCAAATATCTTCATTATCTACATTTATTTCACTCATAGCAGCTGTATTTCTTTTCTGTCATATTCCTTCATTCTATAACCCAAACAACGTAGATGAGATATTTTCACACTATTCCTGCCGGAGCGTCAAGTGAGTTATTTTTCGATAGTTCCTTCCGCAACCAAGAGATGGCACTACAGCAGCGCGCCGTGATGTTATACTGTCCCGCAGTACATATTTCGACATGAAGGGAAAACTTCATTTGGCAGGAATAACGATGACAGATTGTAGCAGGTGCGTATATTTTGTAGCACGTGACACTGCGTTCCTCTCACTGTTCCTCTCAAAGGCAAAGAGAGAAAAAGATAGCTGCTACTTATATTGATAAATCATATTTTTTTTTAATGAGTTTTGTTGAGTTCCTTAAAATAAGAATCGGTCAGATGTTCGAGTGAAGACGGGGACATCAACATTGTTTCTAGGTGCGCTGCACTTGCACTCATTGCATGTTGATGTGGGCTGGACGGGGAAATTAAACGTAGATCAAGATGCTGGCTGTTTTTATCTTTAAATTTTCTATTAATTTATTTTCATGAGATGTGATGCGAATTCATTATTGATTTATTTTACTGCATTTTCAATCACCTTGGTCCGATTTTTTTTCAAGATGTAACAATAGCTCTGATTTTATATTTTTGTTCTCAAATGTTGATGTGTTCCAAATTTCAATAGGCTACCTATCTACCAATTTGTTTGATCTGAAATAAAGCCAGGCACATCAACCAAAAAAGGAAATGAAACCAATTAACAACGACGGAAGGTGCAGGAAATGAGCCTGACAATAAGATTAGAGGTTTTTGAATTTTAAGGCCACATGTTTGATAATTATTAAATGAACATGATACTCCTTAGGTACCTGTCGCTTAATGCTACAGAAGAAGTGCCAGACTTGGTGGGAAGTGTTTTCTAATGAATAAGCTTGACTTTGTTTCATTCTGTTTTGTATAGGTATGTTATGTTTCGTATAGATGAGTACTTAAGGAGTTATTGGAATGTATGCTGACATTTCATGGCATTGTTGTGTCATTTGCAGTGCAGGGAAACTGTCACCTGCCTAAGTGAATAATGATCATGTGACATATTCAAAACATAAAAGGCTCTTTCAAGTTAATTTAAATGTCACTGACCGGTAACATTTTTCACTTGATCTGACCAGAGCTTATGGTATGTTTCACAAGGAGGACTCACTTACAAGATACAGTTAGGAAAAATAAGTTTGTTATTGCATCATATTTGTTCTTACATTTATTAATTTGATAATATACCTACACTATACAGTATACATACAGGGCAAGGCGACGATGTAACTATATAATTCTTGGCTGGGTCTGGTAACAATTGTATTGATATGTGCAATTCGTTTTTACACTTGTCAAACCACACTCTGCAGAGATCCACTGGCCCGGCTGCTGGCCTGTTGGCTCCTGTCCAGGAGGATGAGGTGTGTTCTCCTACTGCTGCTGACCTGGCCGTGGCCGCCGCCGGGCAGCTGGTGCTCCACCCACTGGGTGATGACAGAGGATGGACGCATCCAGGCACAGGTAAGGCTTCGTAGAGCTTGGGTAATGACTGAAGTACCTTCAAATGCTACAGGGTATCTAGATTCAGAAGACTGTTTACATAGGCATAGAGCAGATGCAGGGAGCACAGTGCAAAATGTAACTTTGTATTCCCAATAAAATACATAATTTCAATATTTCAACTAAATCTGTCAGTAATTTGTATGACCATACATAAGTACATATGCCTGTCCCGTAGCTCAGTTGGTAGAGCATCGGACTCCCAGTAGTGAGAGCCCGGGTTCGAGACGCTCCGGCGCTCGATATATGAGACTCCTGACGGGGATGGTCTGCGGTTGGTGGGAGCAGCCGCAGCCAGTTGAAGTCAGTTGAGTGGGACAGGCCGTGTCCGGCTTTGAAGGGCACGTTAAACTTTGGCATCTAAATTCTCCCGTTACCCGGAATTGCGCGATCGGACGGTAGGGGTCGGGGTCTACGCAACAAGCTCTGCTTAGCGTGGACTCCGGCTCTGTCAATCCGTCCATTCAAACATTCGAGCTAAATTTATAAAAAAAAAGTAATGTGTGTGTTTTTGCCTCGTGCTCCTAACGCCTGTTTATTATCGTGCTATCTGGCCCTCACAATCACTGCCTGAGGACTGCTCACCATGGATGCTGTTCCCCATTCCAGATGGACTCCATGTTCTTCATGAAGCGTCCATACGACTTCATCGCGATGGCGCAGCAGGAGCGGCGAGCGAGTATGGTGGAGGCGCTGCGGAAGGAGCTGCTGTCACACAAGGTGAGCTGCCGCACCAGGGAACTGTGGACAGAGCAATGACTGAACGCCTAGCATAGGAGCTCTCTGCGCTGCTCACTAGCGCAGACCACTCCTATAGTCCAACACGGGTGTTATCTCGGCCTGCCGATGGTGAGCGTTTGGTTCGATGGAGAGAATTCTTCGATTGCTATTTGCTGTTGCGGGGGATGACCTGCGATATGTGGCAGTGGCCCTAGCACAGGCTATTTGAAGTCGGTGAGCAAAGTGCATCGTTTCCCGCTTTTCGGATACGTTAAACAACCGTAAATTGCGCTCCTGAAATTTCTCCAATCGGGTGGTAGAGGTCAGGACCTACGCAATTAGTTTGATGGTATCTGTCCGGATTCAGAATGAAAAGCGGTTGGTGGGAGCAGCTGCCGCAGACAGGTCGAGTCAGTCAGCGAGACATACTGTGTCCGCCTTCGTTGACACGCTCAATTTTACCGATCGAATCCTCTCGATCGCCGGATATTGCCCGATCGTACGTTAGGGATCGGGCCTCCACAGCGATCTCCGATTACCGTGAGCTCTGGCCTGTGAATCCATCCATTGAAATAGTTATTCTAACTAGTTATAGTGACGTAAAAAGTGAACTTCTGGCCGTTGGGGCGTGGGCTCGATGCTGCCAACCGTAGTGTGTGCCGCCGTACCTTGTCAAATAAAAGTCCTGCCGTCACTGGCACTCGGGAGGCACCGCTCCGGTCCGAGAAGGATGTGCGTTCGTGCGCTGTCGGCCGGCGAAGAGGGACTAGCTCTGTCCGGGAGACTGACGTCCTCTCCTCCTGTGGATATTGACCCCCCCCTGATCTCTAACTCCCCCCCCCCCCCCACAGGTGGAGATTGACCAGAACGACGACCGGGACCAGGATGTGGAGAAGAAGCTGTACACGGAGGACCCGCACTGTCTGGTGGCCGGCCAGCCGCTTACCGAGTTCGACCTGTACCCCAGCGTGGCCGTCAACCTGCGCAAATACGGCATCAGGTGTGTGACGGCGGTGCGAGGTGAGGGGGCATCGTGGGCGGCGGGTGTGGGCTATGGTGGGTCACGCATTTAGCTATGATTTTAAGAGGTGGAGGAGCCGGAAGGTGCCTACCTGACCTGACCAGACCTGACCTGACCTGACCTCTCAGCTCTCTGACAGGGTGGAGGATTACATTGATGGCGGTTAGGTGGCCGTCGATCTGACCCAACCTGGCCCATTCAGCGTCCTGACCTAACCTGACCTTGTCTTTGACAGAGTGGAGGACTACATTGACTCGGGCCAGGTGACCGGTGATCTGGTGGCCCCCGACTGCGTGGCCCATATGAAGCTCGACTACAGCATGCTCACCTTCCAGCACCTCGTGGTGAGTAAATCTCACCTTCCAACACGTCGTGGTGAGTTATCTCACCTTCCAGCACCTCGTGGTGAGTTAGCTCACCTTCCAGCACCTGTGGTGAGTTATCTCACCTTCCAGCTTCTCGTGGTGAGTTAGCTGACCTTCCAACAGCTTGTGCTGAGTTATCTCACCTTCCAACCCCGAGTGGTGGTTGGCTGATCGCGTGACATCTCCCAGCGCTCTATGGTGAGGATTCTCTTACCTTACAGTCCATGCGACCAAAACTAGCCTTTCGCCGTACTATGACGCGTCAGCTCTCTGAGTTCCGCGTCAGTAAATCCGCGCCCCGTCCGCGGCCAGTGAGTAGAAACTCCCCCGGCCCGCGGCGTGGAAACGCTCCGTCCACGGCCAGTGCCTTTGATCTGGACTAATTGGTGTGTGCGGCGTACCGGGCCGGCCGGCCCGCGGGCGGCGCCGCTAAGCCTCGGCTCGGTGTCGCGGCGTATTTCGGGCCGCCGTACCCTGAACAGACGCCATTTGTGAGCCGCCCAGGGCCGGTTCCGTCATTTTGCGCCGCTCGTTTTAACTCGGCCACAAGTTATGTGCCACCCGCCCCCGCACACTGCTGGAAAACTGGCAGCATTATGTGGCCCGGCGTGAGTAGACCTTGTAAGCCTCTCAGAGGCCTCTGTGAACCTGACAACCACTGTTCCTTTGACTCGGCGGTACTCGGTGACCCATACGACCCCAGTGACCTGACTTGTCTTTTCTATCACTGCTACGTCAACTGCAATATTGTAATAAGCTCCTTCAGGCGAGCATTACGTTGTGACATAAGGACTGCTATTTGCCGCTCTCTAGACGCTGTTTGATAATTGCTCTGTGACCACTGTGTTACCTTCCTGGTACCTGCACTGTTTGACCGTTCAGACTTCGGCGACTATTCTGTGACCGCTCTCTGACCGCCCCGTGACCGCTGTCTGACCGTTCTGTGACCACTGTCTGACCGTTCTGTGACCCGCCGTTCTGCAGGCGATGAAGGAGCGCCACCTGCTCTCGATGGGCCCCGAGCTGGAGCTGGCCGAGCTGGTCGGCCGGCAGAACGTGCACGAGTTCGGCCACCGGGTGGAGATGGCGCTGCGCCGGCAGCCGTCCGTCTGGGTGCTCTACCAGCTGGCCGGCCTCTACTGGCGCATACAGGGCGACGCGCCACGCGCCGTCGAGTGCAGCCGACGCGCCGTCCACCTCTCCACCAGGTACGGGACACATCCCTCTGGGCCGGGATTCAGACACTGCCGAGACAGAATTAGGGACTGTAGACAGCAGGGGCACCCGCAGACCACGGATTTATTTTGGTTACTGCTCGGATGGGTGCGTACGGGGCCATGCATTGAATAGGCCTCTATTATCCCTCTGCACTTCATACTGAGGCGCCGCTCTGCAGATGTTTCCTCTGTGCCTAATGTGTGCGCCGCCAGGGTGGAGCGGTTCGTTCCCCTGGCGGATCTCGGCGCGATGCTTTTCGATATCTCCCCTGTATCTGATGTCCCTTCTCCCAGGGTGGAGCGTTTCGTTCCCCTGGTGGACCTCGGTGTGGTATTACACCGGTGCCGACACAGCGAGAGCGGCGCCGTGGTGCTGCACGCTGCCGTCGACCACCACGACCAGAGTCCCGAGGCGCACTACGCGCTGGGTAACGCGTACGCCGTGCTGGGGGACTACAACCGCTCGGCGACCTGCTTCAACAACACGGTCAAGCTGGACCCGAAACACGAGGGCGCCCTGAAGAGGAGGCACGCCGTGCTCTGCCACGACCGGCTCGAGACGGCGCTGGAGACCCAGCACAAGTACGGACTCTGATGATAGGGGTTATCTGCTAGTTCGGTGTTGGGATACGGGTGCTTACGATCTGCAATTCACACGTGGCACCGAAAGCTCTACCGCTTTATCCGTGCAACGGGCCATCAGCTAGAATTACTCATAAAGTCAACATACGTGCTGGCCTATTGTGAGCTCAGATAGGCTCAACGAAATAAGCAAATCATAGCTCAAGTGAAATTGTTACTCAAGTGAAAAGTGTTGCTCAAGTGAAAAAATGTTTTACCTGGCCTTCTCATTATAGCGCTTACGTAAGCAACCCGTTGCGTTGAAATTAGACATAGTAAAGTTACGTGAAGTCTGTAGTCCCATCCCCTTACGTCCAAGTATACGAGCCGCCCACCCCACGTCCCGGCGCCGTCTGTTCTCAGCTCGCTGCAGAATACGCTGACGGAGCTGCGCAGCTACCAGCGGCAGCACACGCTCTGGCTGCAGCAGCAGGAGAAGCTGCTCAGAGAACAGGCAGAGCTCGAGACCAAGATCGAGTCCCGACTCAACTACGAGGAGCAGAAAATACGCGAGAGCGCTGACGGAAAGGGTGAGTCGACGAGCCATCCTATGTAAGGAGGGGAAGAGGCCTGTGCTATCGAGCGTAGGAGTATGGAGAAGAGACCACGGACTGGCTCTCGGGTGGTCTGCAAACGACGGAACTGCCATGGCCTGCTGTATTTTCTGTTGGTTTAGTCTCTCACGCTGTCTCGCCCAGTTCCTGATCTGACCTCGTCCCGCTCTCTCCCGCCCAGGTCACACGTGTTTTCGCTACTACCAGAACGGCCAGAGCATCCTCAGCTGCAACATGGCCTCGGCACGGGGCGAGCCCGGCTCCGAGACCGTGTCCGATCTTCAGACCAAACTCTCCGACCTGCAGAACAAGGTAGCGTAGTGTGCCCGAGCCGCGGGTGGCGACGGCAGCCCTTACGGCACGGCGCACATTGGACAGTACGCTACGTGCTTATTTTCCTGGAAGCTAGACCTAGACAGACATCTGTCTTTGTGTGCACACGTTGTTATTCCGGATCCGCGTCGATTTCGTTGTGCATCCGTCCCGCCGGTTTTTCAGGTCTCCGGTGTGATAGATTGTCTGTTGGCCGACACCAGACGGTTTGTCTACATCACAGACTACCTCTGTGATGTGACGTGTTACCTGTATTTCTGGCAGGCGGACCGTCTGGAGGAGCAGGTCTCGAAGCTGAGCCGCGGCTCGGACTCCTCCTCAGAAGAGGACGGTGAGGAGGAGGAGGAGGACGGTGACGGGGACGGGGAGGACGCCCTCGCGCGCCGGTACACGGCGCTCGACCCGCAGGCCACCGCCCACCTCCAGGAGCCCGACTGGCCCTCGCAGGAGGAGTGTGGTCAGAAGGTGACCAAGTTCCCCTCGGCCAACGAGTTCCCGTCCGTGTTCCTGGCGCCCGACAACAAGGGATTCGAGTGAGTGGCTACTGAGGGAGAGTTGCGGGTGGGAACTAGACAGGGGTTTCGGGTATACATTATACTTTACACAGGCTAACTGCAAAGAACTTAAATCTTCCAGGAAATAGAATTAGTGAATTAGGTAGGTACGCGGGATCCCGGCATTCCCACTTCGCAGGTCAGCTGCACAGTACGGCGTGTACGTGCTAATCGCTAATAGTGAGTTGTCCAAAACACGCAGTCTATGCTGTACGGGTCATTGTCGCTGCTCCGTCCATAGTTGCGACCCTCTGCTCACTCTCCCTCGCTCTGCCGTCAGCGTGGACCACTACCTAAACGAGGGTATTGGCGTGCCGGTGACGGAGGACCACGCACTGCCCTGGTACCGGCCGGCCTGCCAGCCGGTGGCGGCGCGCGTGCTGCCCTACGACACACTGGAGACGGTGCGCGGCCGGGCGCGGCTCGGCAGCCGGCCGCCCGACCCGGTGGCGCTCGAGGCTCTGATGGAGTACGCGCGCGGCCGGCAGACTGTGGAGGCCGAGCTGGGTCAGAGGATCAACGCCGCACTGCGACAGGTACGGAGACGGTGGGGTTATATGGGGAGGCCGAGCTGGGTCAGAGGACCAACGCTGCACTGAGACAGGTACGGAGTCAGGCGTGCCTGTCTGGCAGAGCACTCTGAGCACGCTGCTGACTCCGGCTGAGTTATGCTTCTAGTAGTGTTTAATAATATCTCAGGTTTGTTCTTATTTGTTGGCTACGATTTTTTAAAACAGATTGTTTCTCAGTACCGTTTCAACCCATCCTTTAAATCGGTCACGTAGTGGTTAGTTGCGTTGCATGCCTCCACATTATTCTACTTACTAGTCCCTACCACTCCTCAGGCGACGGCGCCGTCGTGGGTTCTGGAGACGCTGGCGTCGCTCTACTGGCGCGCCCAGGGCAGTCCGGCGCACGCCATCGAGTGTCTGCGCTCGGCGCTGCACGCGGTGCCGGCCGGGCTCAGTGACGTGCCTCTGACCAGCCTGGCGGCCCTCCTGTACCGGCTCGATGATGTGGATGGAGCGCTGAAGGTGGCACGGCAGGCGCACAACGTCGACACTATAGAGGTGGGGCTGGGGAGTGGGGCAGAGAGGAGCGGAGGGATGACTGCTTCACTCTTTAGCGCTGGTGTTTTCGTCAGTATCGTTCCGTCGCTCCGTAATAAGTATCGTTAAGTCGGATATTCTGTTTTCACCATAATTCCGATGCTGTTTGAATATCAATATCACACTGGTCGAAGTCTCACCTATTGCCTGGCTGGGTGGCGCTTAACTGGTGCGCCTTGTTCCACCTGTAATAATTGTCTCCCCCGGGTACCGTCCGTTGCAGCCGGACACGAATTTCCTGCTGGGTAACCTGCTGGCGGCCAAGGGTAACTTCACGGGTGCCGTGTGGCACTACCTGCGGACGCTGCAGGCCGAGCCCGACCATCGGCCGGCGCTCCAGTACCTGCGCGTGGTCTCCTGTTATACGCGCTACCACGGCCACCAGCGGGCCGGCGAGCAGCAGTGCCAGACGCCGGCGCAGGTCAGTGACTGCTGCACTGATACATTTTGTTTTGCTGGGTTAGGCCCTTTCGGTCCAATTAGACCATTTCAGAGCCGGGAGGATGATAGGAATTAGGGGGAGACATTGGTCTGGGCAGGCACCCTAGTGAGTCACCGGGGCTGAGCCCATCCCGAAGGATATGCCGATCAGCCCCAAGGTACTCACTGCACCCGGCTACGGGGTGCGCTCCCTCGGGAGCAGCGGTGCCGCTCCAAGGGAGCAGCCCGCATGAGATAAAGTTGCCTGTCCAGCCCGGAGGAGGGTTGCGGCGTGGAGGAGAAGGATTTCCGTATCCTGAGGATAGAAGCATGGAACGATGGCTGCACTGAGAAATACACTGATATAGCCGGTACCACGGCCATCAGTGGGCCGGCGAGCAGCAGTGCCAGACCCCGGCGCAGGTCAGTTATACCGATACACTGATGCATCGTTAGATACACCCCCTTCCCCAGCCATCATTGCACGCGAGTTGGATGTGTTAAGTGTTATATTGTCAGACTTCGGCCGAGCAGAACTGACTGTCTCCCCCCCCCCCCCCCTCCGTCAGACGCCGGCCGAGCGGGACTGACCTCTCCCCCCCTCCCCTTCGTCAGACGCCGGCCGAGCGGGACTGACTGTCTCCCCCCCCCCTCCCCCTCCGTCAGACGCCGGCCGAGCGGGACTAACTGTCTACCCCCCCCCCCCCCTCCCCCTCCGTCAGACTCCGGCCGAGCGGGACCCGATCATGGAGAAGCTCTCCAAGATGCCGGCCGACTCGGTGGTCTGTACGTCCGAGTGTGCCGACGGCCTGGCCTCGGAGTCGTGCGACTCCAAGATCAGCTGCTACAACGCGCGCAGCGAGAACGGCCGCTGGATCCTGACGCCGGCGCTGGCGGATCAGCTGGACTGCGCCGGCGGCGACGGGGCAGAGCTGAGCGCAGGTGGGCGGGCCGCGGGGAGCGCCGGGAGACCCTCCTGACCGCTGGGATCCACAGCTTATACAGCTGATGCATGAATTGGCTACTTTGCATTTCTGCTCTGGACCGTGTGCTGTGAGCAGAGATGCTCTACATATAGCGCGCTGAATGTTTGTCTATGTGTCCCTCAGGCCATTTCATTCAGCCGCCACCGTCGGAGCTGTCGCCGCTGCCGGCCGACGACCAGATGCGCTGTGACCGCCTGCTGACTCCTCCGGACGGCCCGCCACCTCCTGACTCACCGCTCGACTCCTCCGACTCCGAGTACGAGCTGGAGGAGCAGCTGGACGTGCTGACCGAGCCGGTGCCCGAGCGGGACGAGCGCGGCATCGTCGACGACCCGCTGCCAGACGTGCTGCTGCGGGTGCGCGAGCGGGCGGCCGCGCCGCCGCCGAGCCGCGAGCAGTGCGCCGACATCAAACAGATCAACTGGGGACAGTACACCTCCACCTGGCTCTCCGTGTCGGCCAAAAACGTCGTGTGAGTTACGGGGAAGGTCGGGATACTCGTGAGATGAGCATCAGGCCTGTAGCTGGCCTCTCACTGTGCTCAAGTACCGCCTTTCTGATGGACTAGCTACAGTTACTGTAGAATGCCTATTCCGACACCGGTATCGACTATCGATATAAATATTGCGGTGGTGGGGCGTTTCAATGCGGTCGCTCCATACCGCAGTCAGTTCTGTGTCTGGTGTACCATATCTCAGTCCTGACCGCGTCTGTCTGCCCCGTGTTTTCAGCGTGGAGCTGGTGCCGGCGCCGGTGGGCGTCTACCAGCCGCGGCAGCCCGTCTGTCCGGACCAGTTTCCCGCCTCCATGGCCACGCTGGACAACCTGTCCGGGGTGCGCCACCGGCGACAGCTGCTCATCAGCCCCGAGACGGGCCTGCGCGAGGCGCTGCAGACGCTCACTGCCGACCAGCCGCGCACCGTCGAGGAGACCGCCACGCGCATCGCCATGAGCATGGACAAGGTACATACGTGAAAATGTGCAAATGTGTGAATGTTCGCGGATGACACAAAGCTGTTCTCAGGCATCTCTTCTGAACATGATGTGCGGACATTGCAGGCAGACCTGAACGCCCTCTTGGAATGGTCTAGAACTTGGCAGCTGCCATTTAACGAGAAGAAGTGCAAAGTGCTTCATGTTGGTGCAGCCAAGGACCACCACTCATTTCAAATGGGGTCGGACAGACTGACAAACACGTCAGTCGAGAGAGACCTGGGTGTGCAGGTCGACTCAATCTTGAAGTTTCGACAGCAAGCGTCTACGGCGGTCTTCAAAGCGTCTCAAGTTCTTGCGGTCATCCGCCGGTCCTTCGCCTTTTTAGATGAATTTACCCTGCCTCTTCTGTTCAAATCTCTCGTGCGGCCTCACCTGGAGTTCAGCAGTCTTGTTTGGGGTCCGTTCAATAGAGCAGATCAGAAGGCAGTCGAAAGGGTCCAAAGAAGAGCCACCCGGTTAGTGGTGAGCATCCGCCACCTTCCATATCCTGAAAGGCTGAAGAGACTGAAGCTCCCGTCACTGTACTATCGGCGTAGACGCATGGATATGATTCACGCATACAAGATGCTGCACGGCCACGTTGATACTGATCCTTCAGAGCTTCTGGCAACGAATCCTGAAAGGCGAACTCGGGGTCACACACTTAAACTACGGAAGCCTCGTGCAACCTGCCGTGCCAGACTGAATTCATTTTCTGTACGGTGTATTAACGATTGGAACGGGCTTCCAGCAGAAATTGTACATTCGCCCTCAGTCAACGTCTTTAAGAACAGGCTGGATGCGCACTGGGAGTCGATCTGGTACTCCACTCCTGTAACAGACTGAGTACTAAGTGAAGTTATGGAAATCGGCGAGAACGGGCCCTACAGGACATCGTGCCTCTTGCCCCGATAACACGAAGATGAACATGAAGATGAAGATGAACTCGTGTAGAGCGACGGGCAGTGGTGTGGGCGGGAGGGTAGGCAGCGGGCGGTCGGGCAGCGGAGAGTGACTGGAACGTGACGGAGTCTCGGGTGGCTCTGGCAGATAACCGAAGGGGAGGTGAGTTGACCAGAGGAACTGGGATCTTGGAATGGTGCGACAGTTAGGGCGGGTTCTAGCGTCTCTTTCGGTGTCTGTTAGTGATATACCGCCGCCGTCGGCCACCTCGGCCACCTCTCTGTCCGGCCGGCCGGTCAGATGTGATAGTTTCGATCTGGGCCGACCGTCGCTGTGTCTGTCCCTCCAAACGATATCGACCGTCGCCGCTCGGGCCGCCGCGCCGACCGGTGTGCCGTCGTACCCGGCTGTCCGGCCGGCGTACCGTCCCGGACAGTGCAGAACTCCCGTGACCCTGCCCGACGTGGCGCAAATGGGCGTCAATTATTGGCAGAGCCCGTCCGGCGGGCCCGGTGAATGACGCGCATTTTCCCGAACTCCATTTAAATTCGAACGCGTGCCTCTGAATCGAAAATTGATAGATTTAGGCGGGTATTTTAGTAACTCCTTTTAGTTATTTTCGGCCGAGGTCAAGAATAAGAGATAAGCCAAAATTACGTATCTGGTCGACCGCAGCACATTTTAAGGAGTCAGATACTCCTGGCGAGAAAAATGATTACCAGACTACCAGCTCAGTTCAGACTCAGTTCAGACTCGGTTTCAGGCTAAATTCGGTGTCTCGGACGCACCTGCCTTTGGCCAGCGATGCGCGGCGGTCGGCTTCCTCCGTTGACCCGGTTATTGAGCGATCGGCGCGATCGGGAGAGCCACTACGCCGCTCGTCAGGCCCGTCCAGTCCGCCGCGCAGTTCGGCCCCAGGTGTAATGGGCCTCTGACGTAACAGCGGCGCGCGGCGCAGTTCAGTTTCGGCTGTAATTGGACCTGTTACGTCGGTAGAGTAGTAACGAAAATAGACGGCCGCTGCGCACTGTCCGTCGGTTCCCGGCCGGCCGGCCCACTCGGGAGGGGCGCGGAAAATGTGCTCCATTACGCCGATTATGTCAATCCGTAGTGGAAATGGCGTCATGGAAACGCACGGATGTTCGGCAAATAAATTTGTTAGGTTGACTAGTGCCTGACTGGAGTATCCCAGTGATCGATTAATGCATAGCGCGTTATTTTGGGCTTCGATCTTATTTGATCGCAGAAATTGCAAGTGACAATCATGATGAGAAAAGTGTGGCGTCTGACAGCGCTCCTATCGTTGCAGAACTCCAGCTCGTGGGTGTTGACCACGGCGGCGGCTCTCTACTGGCGGGTGCGCGGCGACGGACCGCGGGCGGCCAGCTGTCTGAGGATCGCGCTCCACCACGCGCCCCGGCATCTGAAGGACATCCCGCTGATCTCCCTGGCCAACATCCTGCACAGGTGGGGCGAGTGGAGAGCGCCGGCGAAGGGCTGAGGATCGGTGCTGTGCACCGGTGAGGCTGGGTGAGACTCTTGCTTGTATACCTAGAGTGGAACGTGATAGCTTATGGTTGGATGGGATACTGGTTACTCTCGATTATCGTTGACACCGTTTATCGCTGTATTCGGTCGTTCTGTGACTGACAACCACTCCCCGTTCCAGGGCCGGGCTCTACAACGACGCTCTGATCGTGTGTAACATGGCGCTGGAGATATCGCCAAAGTTCGTCGTCATCCACTTCACAATGGCCAATATATACGCGGCCAAGGTTAGTCACTGTTCCGATTCGCGAATGATGTTGCATTGATTACCGTCCAGCGTGACAGGGATAGTGCCTCTATGAAGTGACTATTCGTTCCGTAGATACGGTGGATCCGGCGACATGTCTTTGCATCCCGCACTGAGCTTGCGAACTGACCGGTTTGTGTTTCTGACCGGTTTCTTCCAGTCGACTAGCGCTGTGTGTGTAGGGTGACCCATGTGATATGTGTGACCCGTCTGTGTGTATGGTGAGGGTGACCTTTATGACCTTTGTGACCTCCGTGATGGGTGACCTTTGTGACCTCTGTGATGGGTGACCTCTGCGACTCGTGTACCCGCAGGGTGACCTGGAGAAGGCGGTCTCGTTCTACCAGTCGACCCTGGCGCTCCAGGCGTCCTTTGAGCCGGCCAAGGAGCGGCTGCGCGCCATCCAGTGCAGTCTGCAGGCGTGGCAGGACGCCCGTCAGGAGCCGCACGAGCTGTAGAGCCGCCCGCCGGCCAGCCGTAGCACCAGCGTCGGCGGGAGACACCGAGACAGCGCCAGGAGCCCAGTGCAGGTGGAGCCGTCTCAGGCGGGGATGGGTCACTAATGGAAATCGTCGGCATTCTGGGATAAGATTAAAGAAGGTGCGGCTAACGGCACGGTGGTACGGTGGCGCACGTTTTACGTGTGACATATTCCGGCCGTTTTATGGGTTAGTCTGTGAGTAAGTCCGGTCGCCGTCTCGGGGCGGTATTGTGCCGCCCGGGACGGTCTGCCTTATCCGGGCCGGTCCGATGGGGGAAGGAGGGGACTCCGGGTCAGAGCAGAAGTCTGCGGGTCCGCGCAGTGATTGGTTTTCTAGACGTGCTGTGCCAGACGTCCCGGGCCGGGGCCGGGCCGCGGCCGCCCCTCCACTGGTCGGCCGCGGCCGGCCGCCGACGTTGTGATATTGCACTCTGTGGTGCGTTCATCCTAGAAGTGATTTGCTAGCGTGTGATTTAGCCGGTGATGCCACGAGATATATACCGGACAGCTCTCTTATGATCAACTGCAGTCTAGCCGGATTATTTAAATCAGTAGAATGTGACGTACAAATCGGTTACTGCCAGTTAATCAAGGTTTCGACGCAATCGAACGTACTGCGAAGGGCATCGCGGCTGGGAAATCGCATCCGAATCGGGACTTCACAGATGTGCAGAAATGGGGCCTGCTTAATCGCTTTTAATTTCGAACAGGACACATTCAAAGGGTCTTTTAAAGAGATCTACTGGGAGATATTTTGATTCAAGAGTGCCAGTACCTGTTCTCTTGCATATACTCGAGGCTGCGTGTCCTGAGGTGCCGCTGTGGCGTCCGTCCAGCGGCGGGGCCGGGCCGGGTCGGATATACCGGACGGACCGACCTGCCGCCCGGCCCACAGAGGGCGGCACTGCGGCCCGCGGGTCATACTCAGCCTCTATGCGGTGATATAATACACGCTGATGGTGATACAAAACACGTGTTTTTTTTTTTTTTTTTGAGTGAACACTGAACAGTGACAGTAAATATTATATTATCCAAATTCCAAACACATGACTTATCGACCGCGGACCATTAACCTTAATGCCGACACTTATGTAAAAAGAAACATCACTCACCGGGAAAAAAGTATTCCCGATTTGGCCTGTTTTTGTCCAACTGTTACACTTTCTAATTCACTATCTGACCACTTATTCTTCGCAGTCACATTGCGAGGTGAGCAAAACCCTTTTAGCTGCAGTTACCGACTCTGGACGGAGTACTGAGCAGTGAGCGCGATCAGGCAGTCTGATACAGGCAGGATCCATAATCTCTTCCCCTGAACTTCATCTCCCCCCCCCCCCGTTCATCAGAGACCGGCGCTCAGTCATTGAAGCACACTTCTCACCCCTCGGGTCACCCTCCCCCCGCGTCAAACATCATCGGCCCGGCCTCAGCCACTGAGCCGCTTTTCAATCTTTGAGCTGCCCTGCCCTACTCTGCTCTGGCCGTGGTGCCTTTCCACTGTTCTCGCCGTCTCCTACCGCTGGTGACCGCTGTGGCGCTGGTACCAGCGCCGCCTGCTGCGCCGGTACACCCCGGCGGCGCCCAGCAGCAGGCCCAGCTGGCCCAGCACGGCGCTGGCCAGCGCCAGAGCCAGCGTCAGCCGCGGCGCGCACACCTCCGACCCGGGGCTGCCTGTCGGCAGGGAGAGACACAGGGTCACACCTCCGACCCGGGGCTGCCTGTCGGCGGGGAGTGGCGCGGGGTCACACCTCCGACCCGGGGCTGCCTGTCGGCGGGGGAAGGCGGGGTCAGGTCACCCCTCCGACCCGGGGCTGCCTGTCGGCGGGGAGAGACACAGGGTCACACCTCCGACCCGGGGCTGCCTGTCGGCGGGGAGAGACACAGGGTCACACCTCCGACCCGGGGCTGCCTGTCGGCGGGGAGGGACGGGGTCAGGTCACACCTCCGACCCGGGGCTGCCTGTCGGCGGGGAGGGACGGGGTCAGGTCACACCTCCGACCCGGGGCTGCCTGTCGGCGGGGAGGGACGGGGTCACACCTCCGACCCGGGGCTGCCTGTCGGCGGGGGAAGACGGGGTCAGGTCACACCTCCGACCCGGGGCTGCCTGTCGGTGGGGAGAGACACAGGGTCACACCTCCAACCCGGGGCTGCCTGTCGGCGGGGGAAGGCGGGGTCACACCTCCGACCCGGGGCTGCCTGTCGGCGGGGAGAGACACAGGGTCACACCTCCGACCCGGGGCTGCCTGTCGGCGGGGAGAGACACAGGGTCACACCTCCGACCCGGGGCTGCCTGTCGGCGGGGAGGGACGGGGTCAGGTCACACCTCCGACCCGGGGCTGCCTGTCGGCGGGGAGGGACGGGGTCAGGTCACACCTCCGACCCGGGGCTGCCTGTCGGCGGGGAGAGACACAGGGTCACACCTCCGACCCGGGGCTACCTGTCGGCGGGGAGGGACGGGGTCAGGTCACACCTCCGACCCGGGGCTGCCTGTCGGCGGGGAGGGACGGGGTCAGGTCACACCTCCGACCCGGGGCTGCCTGTCGGCGGGGAGAGACACAGGGTCACACCTCCGACCCGGGGCTGCCTGTCGGCGGGGAGTGGTGCGGGGTCAGGTCACAGAGGAGAGAACCGATGCAGGCAAAGCCGACTTGATATCCTCAAACAGTCGAACATTTTGGAACATTTTCGGATGACTGCCCTGACTGCTCAGCTGTGGTCCTGGGGTGCTCTCCTGGTTCAGACACGTACCCCCTGTGGCGTTCAGCAGCGAAGGCCGCGTGCCTCTGACAGACAGCTCGTCCGTCCAGGGTCCATCCTGGTGCGAGGGTGTAGCCGGGTCGTCTTTGTCCGAGTCCACGGTTAGCTATTAGAGAGGGACAGGGGATGGCGATTGAGTAAAACAGCCGGGCGGCCATGTATCCATGACTGGGCGGCGAGCAGTCATATAAATATGATAGCGGACAAACGAACACTTTGCAAGCATACACATGTCGTGGCTTAAATGTTTATAAAATGCAACACAAAGTCATAGTTTGACCGACAGGAGTCAAACCGTCCATAAGGCCCCCGGACGTCGTCACTTACCGAAACCACCAATGGTACAGACTGCGACAGGACGTCAGCTAACACCATGTCCGCTTCTGCCGCTTTGAAATCTTCCTCTTCGTCGTCAAGGTATTCGTCTTCAGCTACATCAACAGCGCCGCCCTCCGCGGAACCGGAGGTGGTCTCAGGACCTGAATCGGTTATCATCGTCGTCTCTGAGGCGTTCTTGCCCGCCGAGGGAGGATGCTGCGCTCTGAGGTTGGCCGCGGGGAGCAGATTGGTGCCTTCTGACGTCTTAGGACCTCTGACGGTCCCATTGGAGAAGCCCAGCGCCCGGGTGTCAGCGGTGTCGGCGGCAGAAGTCCGGTCGGCTGCCTCGTCACCGGGCCCGCTGTCGTCCGCAGTCGTTACTTCCGAACTGTTCGACCCGTCCTCTGGCGGCACTCGTTCGCCATTCGCACCGTTCACCGGCGGTGTTCCGCCCCGCTCCCTGCCAGCGTCGCCACCGGTCGCGCTGTCAACGGTCGGTAGTGCCTCCGCCACCAGCGGTCTCTCGTGACCGCCATCTGCGCCGCCTCTGTCTGTCTGAGCGAACCGAGTGGCCTCTGGTGCGGTGACACTCGCGCCGGTGTCACCCGTGTCACCGTCTCCGGAGCTGACACTGTCACTGTCGGCGTCTGGTTTATCGTCCGTCTCAGACTCGGTTTGGTCTCTGCCGGGCGGCTGAATGGTCTCAGCACTGGGGTCCGGGACAGCGGTGTGCGACCCGTCGGCCGCCCGGCGCCGGCGCCGACTCGACTTCGGCTCAGGGCACTTGGCCTGGGGAACACGCACGGAAAGTCATTGGCCAACTGTAGGAACATATTCGATATATCTGAGACGGCCGGTAGTGACAAAAGGCGACATGTGAAAACGAGAGCAAGAAGCTGCTTTTAGAAACCACCCACTGGTAAGCGGCGTAGAGATTTCAAACATGAAGACTGAGTGAATCAGTGTGAGTATAAGTTCCGTGTACCAGTCGCCGCAAAGCCAGCCAGAAAAAAAAACAGATAACAAACAGAGATGGGTGACGCACCGGCGGACACTCGCCCTGGCAGAAGCCGATGGTGGCCACGAAGTTGACTTTGGACGTGCTTGGGAAGCGGAACGCCTTGAAGAAGGCCACCAGGTGGCCGGTCCGACGGTCCAGGCTCAGACCGGAGAAAATCTCCGGGTCGGTGGCACATCTGGCGATCAGTCACACCACAATATTACAGAGACCCATGGGAGCAATGGGACAGTACTCATGGCCAACAACAGGACATACAACGTTGACAAACGGGGCCATCAACTACGTAAGGACTCCAGCGCAGCTGAATCGCCCGGCTATGTTCCATTGCATCGGACTGTCCCATCTACCAGCCTTTCTCTTCCCGACGATCCCTGCTCTCCCACGCACCAGCCTCTCCTCTCCCCCAGCTTCGTACCCTTTCTCGTCGACGAGCAGGAGCCGCTCGCCGTTGGCGGTGCGCGCCTCGATGTTCTTCCCGAACATGCCGAAGGCGGTGTCCTGCTCGGAGAGCACCACCAGGTAGAGCGGGTCGCCGAGTGAGGCGCGCAGCACCGCGCTGCCGTCCTGGCTCTGGCGCAACAGTCGAAGCGCCACGCGCGGCGCCTCGCCGCGGCCACGGACCACCTCGGTGGGGCCCGACTGGCGTACTGAGCTGGGGGGGGGGGGGAGCAGTTGTCCCGGTCACTGGTCTCCCCAGTCACAGATCACCCCGGACCCCGGCCACTGATCTGAAGGCTGCGGCAGTGCGGCACATTCACGTCACCCGTCACAGATCAACTAACCGTCAGCTGACACCAGCCCTTACCCAACAAGGCATCGTTTGCTAAAGTCTAAAAGGTGTTCCCGATCTGGCCGACTGTAGCACACACCTCCACCTATGAACCCATCTGAGCGACCCCCGAGCCGACTTACGCCACGGCGACTCCTGCTGCGCCGAGCTCCGAGGGCGCCAGGGAGACGCGCTGGTCGCCGGCCTCCAGGAGGCACTGGACGCGCACCGTGCGGTCGCTCTGCTGCGTGATTAGCGGATGGCTCTGCACCACCACGTGGTTCACGAACAGGTTTCGGCCCTGCGCCGAGAGAGATACGGGGCACATAGTTACTTACGGCCCTGATGAAAACGCCAGGCGGCCGTCGGTTTCCGTCGTTATATAGGCTGTTCCGCATTGCACCAGTGTACTGCGGTACAGACTACCTTGACGAGAACTCCAAGACACGGACTGTGAATCGGCTACCAGCACGATTGGTTAGTCGGTTTCGGGTTGGAATTTCTCGGTAGGGTAATCGAGCTAACCAGGACGGTTAGTTCACTAACTGAGCGTTAGCTCGCTCCTAAGCGGTTAGCTCTCCTCCTGTACGGCTAGCTAGCTTACTTTTGTAAGGTTAGCTTACCTTCAGTTCAGTCATCTCACCTCCTGCACGGTTCCGCATCTGGAGTCCATGGGGATGGGCAGCTGCAGCCGGTCCCGGCCGTCCCCGAGGCTGAAGCAGCTCTGGGGCCCGCCGATGGCGAACACTCGGCCCTCGAACGGCCGGTCAAAGTGGAGCGACACGACCATCTCCCGCCGGCTGCACTCCACGCGAACTGAAAACACGGATCAGTCGCGACATAACACGCAAACAAACCAGCTATAAGCTGTCCGAGAACCGACTATCGATCAACTTCATTTTTCTTCTTCACTTCCCTTCAGTGCATGAATTGAAAATCATCGTTCAGGCGTCTAGACTAGCTCCCCTGAATAGAAGACTGTGGAAACTGCCCCACCCCTTGCTATTCGTACCGTCCTGGCAGTCTGTCTGCTGTGAGAACACGGTTCCGGGAGACGAGAGCAGAGCCGTGACTGGTAAACTGACGGCGTCCTCGCTGCTCAGTGAACACTCCCGGGTCCGAGCCGTGTAGCTGAAACTCCGGCACCTACCGGAGGGACTGCATGTCAGACAGGGAACACAGCCGGCTCAGTCCCGTGTAGCTGAAACTCTGGCACCTGTCGGAAAGGACGGCATGTCAGACAGGGAACACTGCCGGCGCACCGGCTGGGCCGGTTAAGTCATGGCCCGCTAAAGCTCAGTTATTTTACCGGTGCCAGGACGTGGGGTTATTTCACTGAATGGCCCACATCCCGTCAAGTCCTCCCTGGTTCACGGGCCACTCACCTGAAGGCGCGCTCCTCGCTGCAGAGCCGCTGGCACGTCTGTTTGCTGTCGACCCGAGTCACCCGCCGGTCGGTGTAGGGCAGATACCTGTCGTCCGTGTCCTCGAACTCACAGCCGGTGCGCTCTGAGGAGCGGGAGGTCATTATGACTTTGTTAATTATCATACCACCGACGGAGTTCCAGAAGTTTCCTGGGTAGCGGAGGCTATCACAAACGAGAGTTCTTAAGCGTTTCAACGCTTTAATCATATCCTTGTGCTCGATTTTACACAACAAATGCTTCAGATCCATAATAAAAAATTAAATAATGTCGTATTCGTCAACGCGTCATGTCATGGCTCTGACCTGGTGCGCACTTGTTCTCGAGGTAGTCGGTCCCCTCGCTGGCCTCGAGGTCATCCGGCTGCGTCCGTCGGTTCTCACGCGACTTGACGCACGTGAGAAACGATAGCGAGTACTCTGCCGACCTGAAAAAGATCCGCTCAGTATGAGTCATGGGTTGTATCGATATCCAAAGAGTCTCGGTCGTCACAAGTTTTGAGTAACATAGACGATAAACTGAGAACACTGAACATCAGGCGGTAGCCCGCAGAAGCGCTACGATCCTGTAGTACTCTGTACTCGGTAGCTATGTTGATGTGTTTGCCGACTGACCTGCAGGGCAGCTGCACGTTCCGGAGACAGAGCTCCTGGCACTCCTCTCGGCTGGCCACCCAGTCGGTGACGATGTCGTTGTGGCCCTTCAGTCGCGTGTTGGGGATACGGTCGAATGCCCACATACCGCTGCACATATCTGCTGTAACACGGGAGGGAAGCAAATAAATATAAAGCGACGGCAAGTTGCTGCTAACGTAATAATGTAAAATATCCACCGTGAGTGGCGGAGGCGTTGATTTGGTCCCTGGTTTTGCCTGGGTACATATATAAGCATGATGCAGGTTGCATTATGCCTCCTCATTCCTGCGTCGTTTTATATCGCAGCACGGTCAGTTATGTTCGTGCTCATGCGCCTCTATAGGCATCTCATCGATATCGACATGTTCTGCGCTCACCGACTCCGCCAATGCAGACTTTGATGAATTGCGCGCAGAGCCGATCGGGCACCAGTTCGCCTCCGCCCGTGCCGGGCTGGTGCTGAAGCTTCTGGAACATCTCCGAGCCTTCGCTGTACTCCACGCCGACACTCATACACTCCGGGTCTCTGGAACACTAGAGACAGAGGACTCCGGTTGAGTGCTATCAAAATTAGACGACGTTTGTCATTTCATTATTAATCATATGCGGGTCCAAGGCCCACGGACGCCACGTGCCTCACCTGTCTGAGGGCGATCACGGTGCTGCCCCGCTCCCTGGGCGTCGGCGGCGGCCCCCGCACCCGCGACTCGTACCGCATGTCGACGATCTTCTCAAAGGTGGGTCGCTCCGGACAGCGGCGCACGTCCGGCGGCGGTCTCCGCCGGCCCTGGGGTGGTCCTCGGTCTCTATCGGGGTACTGGTCCCGGTCCGTGTCAGGATACCGGCCCGTGTCAGGGTCCCGGTCCGTGTCAGGATACCGGCCCGTGTCAGGAAACTGGCCACTGTCCCTTTCAGGGTAGCGGTCCCGGTCCCTATCAGGGTAGCGGCCCGTGTTAGGATACCGATCCGTGTCAGGATACCGGCCCGTGTCAGGGTACCGGCCCGTGTCAGGAAACTGGCCACTGTCCCTTTCAGGGTAGCGGTCCCGGTCCCTATCAGGGTAGCGGCCCGTGTTAGGATACCGGTCCGTGTCAGGATACCGGCCCGTGTCAGGATACCGGCCACTGTCCCTATCGGGGTAGCGGGCTGTGTCTGGATACTTGTCCCGGTCCCTTTCAGGATACGTGTCCTTATCAGTGCCAGGATACCGATTATCCGTATTAGGGTACGGATCTCTGCTCGTATCCGGATACTGGTCACTATTTGTCGCAGGGTACCGAGACCACCCACTGTCTCTATTTTGGTCGTCTCTCGTGGATTTTCTCCTGTTGCCAAAGCGCCGCCCATTATCGAAAGTGTCATCCTCTCGACTTCCAGGATATTGGTCGTATATTCGCCCATCATCAAAAGTCGGTCGTTTTCTGTCATCGTTAGTGGAAGGCAGATCGTGGATGAAGGGATATCTGCGATTGCTGCTTCCTGATCCTCCGAAGTCCCTCGAATGGTGAGGCAGGCGGCCTCCACCGGAAAACTGTCCGTCACCACCCAGGAACACATCCCTGCTGCCTGGATATGCGCCCATATCCCTGCTGTCGGGATATTTGTCCACACCCGTCCTACGGGGATATCCACCCATATCCGTCCTGTCGGGATAGCCGTCCGGTGTCCTCCAGCCGCCATCGGGCCTGTCCCGTGGTGGAAGCGGACCGCCTCTGTGGTAGAAGGCGGTGTCCCGGTAGAACGGTCCGTTGTCATGGGCAGAGTCCTCGGGACGTCTTGCTGGCAAACCTGCGGAAGAAGGCCAGTGTAATGAAGACGCTATTTTGGTATGGCTTCCGTAAGTTCTCGTGTATCTCCAGCTGTAGCTGAATGTAATCCGACGCAATTTATTGACATCGTTTTTTTTTTGTATGAATACTGAATGCTTATACGTAACCTGCGGGGAGGGCCATCTTGGCCTACTCGTCCATGTTTAGTGCACAGGAAACGTACATTATTCCGATTGTGTTTATATCTTCATGCGCCAAAGTGTCACTGAGCAGTGTCGCTGACCTGCGCATTTATTCTCGAAGTAGTCTGTAGTTGGGTGCGGCTGAAGCTTTCGACCCACAGCAGAGTTGCGATCCTCAGCGTTCAAACGGCACTCGGAGCTCTCGTAGTCATAGTTCAGGGACCTGATCGGGAGGACGACCAGTGTCAAACGGGAGAATGACCAGTACTATTAGCCGCACAGTGAGCACAATGACAAAACCATGCATGGGATGCTGCCGATAGATCGTTGGAGGTCGGGTCATGGGGTGACACGACTGATATATCGCCTCAGGCATATAAAGCCCAGGTATGCAAGTATGGCGGGCAGCTATAACTGATGCCTGGTCCGACCTGCCTACTGCTACTGACCTGCAGGTGAAGCGGCGCTCCGCTCCCACTGACCTGCAGGTGAAGCGGCGCTCCGCTCCCACTGACCTGCAGGTGAAGCGGCGCTCCGCTCCCACTGACCTGCAGGTGAAGCGGCGCTCCGCTCCCACTGACCTGCAGGTGAAGCGGCGCTCCGCTCCCACTCACCTGCATGTGAAGCGGCGCTCCGCTCCCACTGACCTGCAGGTGAAGCGGCGCCCCCTCCCACTGACCTGCAGGTGAAGCGGCGCTCCGCTCCCACTGACCTGCAGGTGAAGCGGCGCTCCGCTCCCACTGACCTGCAGGTGAAGCGGCGCTCCGCTCCCACTGACCTGCAGGTGAAGCGGCGCTCCGCTCCCACTCACCTGCATGTGAAGCGGCGCTCCGCTCCCACTGACCTGCAGGTGAAGCGGCGCTCCGCTCCCACTAACCTGCAGGTGAAGCGGCGCCCCCTCCCACTGACCTGCAGGTGAAGCGGCGCTCCGCTCCCACTGACCTGCAGGTGAAGCGGCGCTCCGCTCCCACTAACCTGCAGGTGAAGCGGCGCCCCCTCCCACTGACCTGCAGGTGAAGCGGCGCTCCGCCAGGCACGCCTCCCGGCACTGGACCACGCTGAGGTCGGCCAGCAGTCTCTCCTCCCGGACCAGCAGCCGCCGCTGCAGCACCCGCTCGAACGTGTACGCCGAGCCGCAGCCGCGCTCTGTAAACGAGCGAACGGACTGCGGTAAAATATTGACAACAGTGGGACGGAACGAGGGATGGATACCGGTAAAGGAGTCATCATGTCAACATAGCGGGGTTAAACGTCACTTGGGTCATATTAAGATCGATGGTATATGCTTACAAAAATACAGCTGTTTTCTGTCACCGATATTTTCTCACCAGTAACCATGAGGCTGGTGTAAGTACTCAGGGTGGACCAAAAAGGATGGAAACATTTTAAACTCGTATAAAACATCTATCATTGCATGCATGTGACTGGGAATGATACCAAACAAGAGTACATTTCGTGGAAATTCATAATGACATCACTCTCATATGCTTTCTCTCGTTTTCAGTCTCTCACAGCAGATGTTCGAAATGACCCCCTTCGCGAGACAGGCACAGAGCGACCAGCCTGGCTGCTGACACGATAGCCCACTTGTATGGCTCACACAGCCTTGCTGATCGCTCTCTTCAGTTCAGAGGCTTTCTGAACCTTCCTTGTAGACCTGGCCCTTGAGATGACCCCACAGTAAAACATCCATAGGGGTCAGGTATGATGAGCAGGTAGGCCAGTTCCGACTGGCACCGCGGGATATCAGCCGGTCACCGAAGTGGTTTCCGATGCACTTGAGCGTTGTTTTTGCGATGTGAGGAGGCGCACCGTCTTGCTGGAACCACATAAGGTGTATGATGAGGCTGCCATGCTTCGTTTGGACTCGCTCTCAGAACTTCCTCAGCGCCGCCTGGTATGCGCTGTTGATTGACGGTCACGGTGTCGCCGCTCCCTTCCTCGAACCAAAGTGGACCCACGATTCCTTTTCCGCTGAGGGCACACCATTTCGGTGACCTTGCTGCTGTGCAGTGACTTCTTTATCATCTCATCTCAAGGGCCAGGTCTACAAGGAAGGTCTCTGTGACCTGAAGAGAGCGATCACCAAGACTGTGTGAGCCATACCAGCGAACATGTGTCGTCGGGCTATCGCGTCAGCCACCAGACCGGCCGCTCTGTGTCTGTTTCGCGAAAGTAGTCTCTTCGAACATTTGCTGTGAGAGACTGAAAACGAGAGAAAGCAGATGAGAGTGATGCCGTTATGAATTTCCACGAAATGTACTCTCGTTGGGTACCATTTCCAATAACATGCATGCAATAATGCATGTTTTATGCGAGTTCAAAATGTTTCCATCCTTTTTGGTCCACCCCGTACTCACGTTTGAGGCAGATTTTTTGCACGAAGCTGATGTCCGGTTTGGCGGCGAGGTGGTCTCTGAAGTTGGTGTCGATGTCGAGTCTCCTGATCTCCAGCTGCCAGCACCGGCCGTTACTTGAGTCAACTATCATAGCGGAACAGTCCGGGGTCCGAGAACATCTGGAACGGGTGGAAATGTATCCGTTATGCGCAACGCCCATTGATTTGACCCTGCATTGTAATATCAGATCAATTATGCAAAACGAACGTTACTTTTGTTGCATGTAAGGCTGCATTAAATTGTACCTTCCCATATTCTGAATACGTCTTAGAAGTCTTAATTACCCGCATTTGATTAGCGCTTGCATACCTACTTTTTATTAATTTGGCTTCATTGTGTTTTCTAACACAACATCAACAGACCGCAATCCACAATCAATCACACAAGAAACACAGGTTAACCATGACGATTTAAACGGTTACGACAGAAGTAGAAAAATCGTACGATGTTCGTCTTACGCTAGTTCACACTCCAGTATTGGATCGGAGCTTCGTGTGTGAATCATAAGCTCTACAACTTGCAGCTTACGAATATATTCATGTCCGGCGGTTAGTTCGTAGTGTAGATGGCAGCTGTCACCTGAAAATAAATTCTATCATTATGTATGTAGAGACGCGTAAGTAGCTTCCGGCATAAATAATGAGTCGTGTTCAATCTGATTGCTACAATGCATAATGCATCGAATCAGTGAGCGTTGCAAATTACAATACAGGACAATGGCATGACAGTTTTACCAATAAAAAGCGAGATTCCCGTTCCGTTCGTCCTCCCTCTGAAACTCTGCGGCTCACCGTCACCACGGGTATGATCCAGCTCGCGCTGGTCCTGGGCTGACTTGGTGAGGTGGGGACGCTGCTGGAAGAGACCCCGACCCCCTCTGGCGACACCACTCAGCCACATGAGCGGCAGGATCACCAGAGGGGGCAGCGGACGGTCGCCGGCCGCTCCCCGGGTCCGAGCGTCCACCCTTGTCCGGCCGCTGTCCGCCCCCGCTGTCCATCCGCCCGGCGCCGGGCGGGCCGTGTCCGTCCCCGGGTCCAGCCAGGACCCCAGCCCGCGGTGCTGGGGGACGTCGTCTCCCCTGCCGGTCCGCGCGTCCCACTCGGGTCTCCAGGGGCCCAGCAGCGGCTCCGGGTGCAGTCGGCGGTCCCGCAGGTGCCGCCGGTCCTCCAGAAGGGCCCGCGACAGGTTCCCGGGGTGGCCGGATGGGGAGGTCCCTCCAGGAGGGTCTCCAGGCTGTCCGCCGGGCCCTGTGGGCTGCTTGCTGCTACCATCGACCTGGGGACCGTCTATCGGACAGAGGCGCTCGTAAAACGCGACGCCACCGTGTGAAAGGAAGAGCCAGTGAATACCGACTTTGGATATGACCGACTTGGGAACAGCACGAACGACCGGTGGTTAAAATTAAGGCTATAACTGCTTATCATCGACAATGTCATTGACGATCGTTAGGTATGCCTAATTAATCAGTGTTAATAAAGAGGTGCAAAATCATCGAGAGATGCCATGCTCACCATTGATGTCACTGGAAGCGGTCGCCACCAGGAAGGCCAAAACTATAACCGAGCCGCGCCCTGCAATGGAGTTCAGTGCAGCCCTCTGAAAACAGAATATCACCGAAGCGTTACGAACCGTTCATTGTCCGTGCTGGCGACCGCGTCACGGTGTTGTCCCCGTCACATACTATCAGCGTGACGGGCTCCGGTCGCTGCAGCCTCCCCCGGTGACGAGGCAGGGTCAGCCCTCTCCGGCCTGCGGGCCCGTCCGTCGGCCAATCGGACGGCTCGGAGAGGTGACGTCAGACCACGTGACCTGGCCGAGGTCGGGCGGGATAGCCCGAGGCAGGGTGCTCGCTGACGGCCCCGGGGCTATGACACTTGTTATGGCATCCCGGGGATGGGCGCCGTCCGGACTGAGCGGCGGTTGGGGAACGGCGGCGCCCTCATGGGTTGGTCGGGTGCAGTGGTGGGGATCACCGACCGCCATTGTTGCACACGGGGTCGCCGGCCGACGCAGGGTGGTCTGAACATGGAGGGGACGGAGGGAGGGTCCCGGTGCAGGGGTCAGGGACTGGGAGGGGCGGGGCTCCCCATCACCGCGGGCCGACCATGGAAGCGTGACTCGAATAACGGCATTCTGACGGCGACTCTGCAACGGAGGCCTGAAGGCACCGACTCCGCCATCGGCCACACCCATGCTGGGAAAACTCTATGTCACATACACACAACGATAGGTCATTAAAACATCTTAGACTGCTCATGCTGATGCAGTTCAACGTTACAGTTTCGGTGTCGTGTGCCGCGTGCGCCGTCTATGGACTAAAAATACGCAGGGCCGGCTTGCCCGGTTTGGGATGGGAAAGAAAAAGAAAACGTTGACCCTATAAGTAAGAACTATTTACTTACAAGTTTATTCACTGTCCCTTTTGTCAAGTAACTCACTCTACGTGACAATCAGTCTATCCAAGAGAGGATAATTTATCACTTTTAGGACAGACCAAGGTTTCTTCCTCGGGAAAGGTCTCCGTTTCAGTGAACCAAGAAGGACTCAACAGCGGTCTCCATTGTCAGTGACTTCTCCCAGGGGTCACGTTTTATGCTGCAGCTAACTGCGTTTCCACCATCCGTCTGTCCGACGCGACGGCGTTTCCGCGGCCGCCCGTCTTTCCGCCGCAGCCGAGTACGGTGGGTAGGCTGTGCCGCAGACCCGGCTGCACGGCGGCACAGCCTACCTACCCGTCTTCGTCCCAAATGAAATCCGCGCTTCCTTCGAGAGAAGTGTCGAGTGACTTCTTATATTTTTGGAGCTGGATACCTAATCTTTGTTGTGTCACTGACATTACCATTGCACGTTTAACACATGCGCATCGCACATTGTACAATGGCTTTGCTCATACCTAAAGAAGAATGTTTTGAGGTTGATATTTAATTATTTAGGTTGTCGACTCATCTAGAGTCGACACATAGAGTCGACTCATAAGCTTCCGGTGATTTTAAGAAAAAAAATGCAAAAATGTCAGCATCATTGATAGTTAAAAGGCTCCTACGTGCTGGGTGCACAGTAATAGGTGCAATGACCTCGTCGAAAAGGCAACGATACCGGCGACCAACAGGCAACAGGGAATGTTTGGTGACTTGCCCAGCCGACTATAAAATGAATTTGGTTACCTTGATGTTCATTTTTTAGAAACTCAACTTTAGGTATCACAATTCAGACCAGAAATAATGCAATGGAGCCTGCCGAGGTCTTGCCTTTTTAACTACCCGAGTCTGATGAAAAATTCCGGATTAGGTATAGGCGGGATGCTTTTAAGTCAAAAGTGTAACATTTCTACCGAGCCGTAGCCGACCTGCCCCACTTACAGAATTACCCTATGACCCCTTAACCGATATAGGTAACTGATGCAGCCCATGACCGTCGGGAGAAAACGGCGAGCTCCGAAGCGGCTTGAACCGGGCTCTCGCCTTCTCTTTCGACTCAGAAGTCTCCAGCCGGACATTGCATTATTGAGTAGGACTTGCCATTGGAGATGTGCGCCTACTGCAATACATAAAACGCCGCACATTGGACGGATAAGTCCTTTTAGTACGTAACCCACATCACTACCCATCTTTGGGATTACGGCTCTAGTTCCGGACAGCGTTTTTTTTTTTTTTTGCAGTCGGAGAGGAACATTCCGAGCCTTTTGTGTGCCGCTGTCCCGCTCTTTCGCCTCACCTGTCCGCTCCATGCCATACTCTGCTCCTGCTGCCGGCCCGGTCCGCCGAGCCAATCTGCCGTCTCCGTCGTCAGTCGCTGACTCAGTCTCCCGTTCCCGTCGTCGGACCCGAGTCCAGTCCCGAAGAGCACACCTATTTGTCCGTCATCAGAGCGCCGAGATCGTTGGGTGACCGCTGGCACACACCACCGATGGTATCGTCCATGCAGTTGGTATTCGGCAGTGTTCACACCAGTCTCCAGCTCTGTGCTCCGATGATGTCTCTGCGGTCCCTCTGCCGGTCTGCCGGTGTCTTCAGAGTGCAGGGGACTCCCGGCCGCTCCTGCCCCGCCCCTGCCCTGATGTCCGCTCACTGTGTGACCTGACCGGTCTGCTCTCTGCCGCTGGTTAGTGCACTGTGCAGTGTGCAGTGACCGGCACTGCTGCACCCTCCCGTTCTGACCGGCACTGGCCTCTGGGGGCCGCCCGCCGCCGGGTCCGGCCGGCCTGCAGCTGCAGTTTGGCCGAGAGCGGGCGTGTTCACAGGGGGGGGGGGTCATTTCCGACACGGCGCACCCCTCCGACCGGCGACCGTCCCAGCGCACTGACCCCCTCCCTCACTAACACCGGCACACATACATACAGATAGGCCGCGGCACCCGGCCCGCCCGTCACGCACACCCGGGTCCCCGCCGCACGCCACCGCCGCCGCCGGCCAGTCCGCCGGCCAATTAAAATGCGTGATTCTCGTGGTCAGAGTGTATCGGGTGATTTATCTCCGGGAGGGGAGTGTTTTTGTCCCATCCACACCTACACCCAACTGACAGACACCGAGCCGACTGCGCTCCGGAGCGGACAACTCGTATGAACCATCCATTATGAACGAGTGCAAAAAGCACAAACACCATAAACACGCTCTTTTGATAAAATAGTACAACAGGAAATATGTAATTTAACACTAATTGCTAAGAAATGCTCTTGTGATTAAGAACCGAAAATATGTTATCTTATCATTCTTATCTCTTAGAAGCGGAGCGTGAAACGCGAAGCAGTCTCTGAAATTAAACGAAAAAAAAAATAAAGAGAAACCTAATGTTAACTTAGCTTCATAACGAGTAAAGTGAAGGAAAGTGGAGCTTCGCTTTTCAATCTGGAAGCATATGTAACATATGGTAGCAGTTCATTTATTGCGCTTTTGCGTCGAACAAAATATGAGCCGGCTGTTCATTAGCTTTGTCCACAAAGGCAAATGAAAATACTTCCTCCTAGAAGTAAGTCTTCCCTCCAAAAAAACTTGCTGAATTTAAATTTTTCAGTTTTGAAAATCTAAGAAACTTACAAATTTGCAAAAAATTATCAGCAAAAAATGTTATATATCATAGGTTTGTATTTAAAAGATGCTGCCTAGGAAGCTTCCGTACTTAAAGAACATGATCGCCGCATAACACGCATATCAATATCCATTTTGACATAGGTATCTCAGCTAATACGGTATATAGGGCCTTGGCTAATACTGAGTCCTATAACGTTCCTTTTACCCTTCGCGAACTTAAATTATCTTTGGCAAAGGCCAGCCCCAAGACGTCGGTAGGCCCTGATGGTCTTCCTTACGCATTTTACATCAACCTAGACGAACTAAACCTATCCACTCTACTCATCGCTCTAAATAATCTTTGGCTAAATGATTTCTTCCCGGATGAGTGGCTCAGGAGTATTATCGTTCCGATTCTAAAACCAGGCAAAGACGCTCAACTCCCAAATTCCTACCGCCCAATCTCTCTCACAAACTGTATTTGCAAAATCTTTGAGCGCATGGTGATCACCCGCTTGCGTTACTACCTGGAAGATAAAAAATGCATAGACTCCTGCCAAAGTGGATTTCGTCAACACCACAGCACGGCAGATAATGTCGTTCGTCTAATCTCTGACATTCAAGTTAACTGGGAACGTCGCCAACCAACAGTTGCTGTTTTCCTGGACCTAGTTTCTGCCTTTAATAAAGAACACAGCTCGACGGTTCTGAACAAACTGCATTCAATCGGCATTAGAGGCCATTTGGCCATCTTTCTTCGTAATTTCCTCAAACCCCGCACCTTCAGAGTTCGTTGTCAAACCACGCTCTCTGACGCTTTCCGAATGGAGCACGGTGTACCCCAAGGAAGTGTATTGTCACCTACCCTATTTCTAATCGCTATTAATGATCTCTTTTTATCACTTCCACGGTTTCTTACCCTCTCTGTCCGTTACTCACTTTTCGCCGACGATATTGCAATATGGGTCTCCCACAAAAGCTATAAACAAGCCTTTTCAATTATACAAAAGGTAATCGATCACTGCGTTCAATGGTGTAAGAAATGGGGCTTCTTTCTATCAGCTCCTAAGTCAGCTCTGATGGTCTTTAAAAGGGGACCTCTACCGTCCTTGGACGAATCGCCACATATTGATGGAAATAGAATCCCGTTTTACACATCTCACAAATTTTTGGGGATAATCCTGGACTCAAATCTGACTTTTCGACTCCACGTAGAGCACATCAGGACACGTTGTCTTAAAAGAATAAACGCCCTAAGATGCATCTCAGGTTTTACCTGGGGTGCGGACAGAAAAACGTTGTCAATGCTTTATATAGGACTCATCCGATCTACTCTCGAATACAGCTGTTACCTTTTTAGTACACTCTCGCCCACTCTTTGTAAACGGCTCGAAGCCATACAATCAAATTGTCTACGGATGATAACCGGGGCGTTCCGCACAACACCGACACTCTCCCTGCGAACGGAGGCAAACCTGCCAGCACTAGAAGACCGCCGTTTCTTCCTTTTCCTACGATACTACTATCGCGCCAAAAGTATTCCGAACCATTCTGCAATTCCAGCGATGGAAGCCAGGAAACCCTTTTCCCGGCAACCTCTCCGCAGGTCGTGCTTCCTTCCAGAAATTATAAATCAGGCTCATGAGATACTCAACATTGGCCAAATAAACGTTGCCTCTAAACCGCCTATGCTTCCCTTCTGGCTCCTGCGAGACATTTCTATTGAATATCTTTTTAACGATTCAAAATCTAACATTTCGCCAATGGATGCCCAATTGCTGTTCCATGAGTATGTACAGAGAAACCTAGACTCCACATTCTTCTACACTGACGGCTCATGTCTTTCAAACCAAACGGGCGCGGCAGCCGTGGGCCCGAATATTAGATACAAAATACGCCTGCAAGACCATACCACTATTTTTTCAGCAGAAGTTCACGCTATTCAAACGGTAGTCCGTCATATACAAACACTTCACATTGAACAGGCAATAATCTGCACCGATTCCAAATCTGCCCTTCAGGCTCTAGAAAGAACTGATAACGTCACCCACTACTGCATCCAAAATATCCACAAAATGCTACTAGAACTAGACGAAAGTCAGCATATAACTTTTCTTTGGGTGCCAAGTCATTGTGGCATCGCAGGGAATGAGCTGGCAGACACCCTCGCTAAGGAAGGAGCAATGAGAGCAGACCCTAGTGGGGTGCCTCTCTCGATCGGGGACGTCTGCCACAAACTCCGAACAAAATTTAATACTTACCTACAAAACAAATGGAATCAAACCCACTCTCCTCATTTATATGCGATCAAGCAAAATCTTACATCCTGGACAACTTGCAACCAGCCAAATAGGATTCGCGAGGTTACACTGGCAAGGCTACGATGCGGACATACCTACTCGTTTCACCCACTGTCATCTTTTCGAAAGGACGGACCCACCAATGTGCCAAACATGCAACACACGCATTACGGTTGAACACATTCTAATCGGATGCACAGTCCTCCGCAACGAACGAAAACATATCAACAACTACCTTACAAAATATCGCCTCAGAAACGATCTTCCGACTCTTCTCGGAGATGATCCAGCACTAACTGATCTAGTACTTGATTTTGTCTTAAACTCACCTTATTCCGACAAACTGTAAAGTAAGCACCATTACTTGGCCTTAGGCATACCGCATTACAAAGAATATATAGTCGCCGAACGAATGCGAAAATCGCAAGGAACTGTCCACATACTCTGGGGTTGTCCCTTCACCCACTGCACAACGACGAGCAGCGGCCAAGGATTCTTCAGTCACGGACCCGGCCGCTGAACAGCGACAGCGGCCGGGTTTGGGCGACCACAGGCCCGGGTACAACAATCGGCCCTCAACAGCGGCAGCGACATATCCTCCACTCTTCAAACCTTTCCTATCATCCAACTTTTATCGTAACTTGTAACCCTACCAATTACCATTCACAAACTTCCTCCTTCCCTCCCCTCACAAACATCAATTTAACGGTAAGTCTCACTGTCATTTATGTATCTTAACGTAAATTCATGGGTTTTTCCCCATATTCATGGCATAGTACATGGATATGGGTTTTCCCATGTTGTCTTGCAGTAAAAGTGGCCACCGGTCTTAGTTAGGACGGCCGGTTTCTTTTGCGCGGCGTAGTTAGGTCGCCGCCCTCCTCGCGAGGCCGGTAACGTAAGTTAGGGCCACTAAAAAAAAAAAAAAAAAAAAGACATAGGTATCAACCGGTGTATTATTGTATATCATTTGGGATGCGCTTTTTGTGCTACTGAAAGGACAGTTTAGGGTTTTTATGGGTCAGGCCGAGTCAATGAAAATGGAACAAGAAAAAGATACAAATAGTTCCCATTGTAAGTTGAAGTGGTGAGCTTAGTTTGCTGTTGAATCGGAAATGCTTTTGGCTTCTAAGCCTTTTTGAAGTAAATCAATGACATCTTTCATGTTGATATAAATTAATTTTGACACAAGCAGTGATAAATGCAAGATAAGCATAGATGGAACTCACCAAAAAGGATGTGTTTATTCATGTTTTTTGTTTGTGAATTTCTTCAGTTTTAGGGCCGCTTAATAATTCTCAGAGCAGTGCCAACAAATACCTACCTAAAGGTATACGCGGCGGAATGGGGAGGCACCGGGGTACCGTGCTCCCCTTTGATTTTGGCATTTTAACATAAGCCCTATGGGCATTGCATGGAAAGAATGGGACCAAAAGTCGGCAGGCCCCCCCCCCCACACCCCGTAATTGAAGTTCGAGCGCTGCTGTCTAATAGTGCATCAATTATTAAATACCTATTGGCTTTACCAAAATATTTGTGTAACATCAATGATTAGAGGATAAAGGCATGAAAATTAGATGTTTTTTTTTAAATTATTTAATCCTACATCTGTAGTAAGCAAAAGGCAATTATGTTTTTTTTTGTACAAATATCAATGTTCAATATTGACCCTTTCATTGGCTGAGGATGCACTCTGATTGCAGCCTGCAGAGTATTATCAACCAGCATTGATTCAGTCTTATTTCATCCAGGCTGAATCAATGTGATGCATGGATTTCAGTAAATTGTTTCTTAATCAAAAGTCATAAAGTAAAACATGTAAGGCTACAGAACTGCTGATATGTGGTTACATAATGCACAATTTTTATATTGAATTGAGCACACCAAAAAAGTAAAGATGCAACTTAACTTTAAAATATTTGTATTTTCTCTGTTTTAACCATTTCCAAGCCTTGCTATAAAAAATGACTCCTTTGCACTTTGAGGCCTCTTTGCTTTTTGCATTTTTAGGTCTTTGGGGCAACTGTTGGCATGCAATGTGAAATGTGCCCAACACACCCTGCTCTCCATTTGGTAGCTGTGCAATGTGCATTTTTATGTGTGTGAGTTGACCATGTTGGCTGTGAATCAGGTGTGCACCATTGTATCAAAAGATGGAGCTGATACCTCATACCCAAAGATTGTAATAGGCAGTAAGGAATATCAAGGAATGCTGCTTTGATGTCACAGATAATGAATCTGCAGAAAATTGGAGTGTATCTGAGTAATAGACAGTAAACTAAATTTATTTATGATCAATAGCCTTTTATGCTTCTAAGGAGTCTGAAACAGAACAGAGGGCTAAGGAGAGTAGGAGGGAAAAATTTAAACTTAAGCTTCTTACAAGTGTTTGTTTTGACAAGGTTCAGTGTATTTGTTTCAGCACAAAGGATGCCCAGCATAGAGGTTCACCCGCTGTCTCACCAGCCCACAGCAGCGTGGGAGGAGCTCAAACAGAGCCAGCAGGTCATCAAAATCAACACAAAGATACCGACCAAACCGCCAGGGGACAGGAAGGTCAGTGATGGAACAATTAAATGATCTAGCACTCCAAGGAGAGGTCCACTTACTACAAAGTGATATTGGGGCCTCATTATGCTCCCCTCCTGCTCATCAGAACTGAATCACTAACTGCCACCGCGTCCTTCCTCTGCACAGCTCCGGTTCGTGTGTATGAGCGACACCCACTCACTGACTCCGCACCTGACGATGCCCGTGCCCGATGGAGACGTCCTCATTCACGCCGGCGACTTCACCAAGTGCGGCCGAATCGAGGAGGTGGAGCTCTTCAATAACTGGCTCGGTGAGCGCATCGCCAGCGGCTCTTGACAATCTGTTTTTCCGTTGAGTACCAGTTTCGGGGTGGAAAAGTCTCCAATGCTGTGCTGGTTAACAGATAGGTAGTAGTTTTATTTGTGTGGTAGTGAGAGACTTATTCACCTATTTCACTGCTTTTCATTATCATTTTTGTTTACTATGTTATACATAGATAAACCGTTTATCGGCAGCGAGTCTGCCGCACCGGCATAAGATCGTGATCGCCGGTAACCACGAGCTGAGTTTCGACCCGGCGTTCACTCGAGACGGCGGCGCCGGGGCTCTGAACGCGCTGCCGACGCTGGGCTGTGACCGCCGCGATCTGGAGCAGGCGGTGAGCCGGCCCGACTGCCGGTCGCGCCTCTCCGGCTGCACCTACCTGCAGGACGAGTCGGTGACCGTGAGCGGCATCACCGTCTACGGGTCGCCCTGGTGAGTCGCGACGAGCTAGGGTTGGCTGTGGGCAGAACTGTGTGTTTAGTCATGCATGTATCAGTCGCAGTGTGTCTGGAAAACGGCGGAACTAGTTGCTACATATGACCGAATAATCCCTGTGACGATAGCAGCGCCGTGGCGGCGGATGAAATGTCGCCAGCGCCACCTGGGCAGTTTGGTGGCGCCCGGTCAGCGTATGACGGCACGGCTGTGACGCGTCTGTGTCCTGCCCGCAGGCAGCCGGAGTTTTGCGACTGGGCGTTTAACGTGCCGCGCGGCCGGCCCTGCCTGGAGAAGTGGCTCAAGATCCCCGAGAATGTCGATGTGCTGATCACACACTCGCCGCCGATAGGTGAGCGGGAGAGTTCAGACGCTCTGCTGAACGGGAGCGGATACTGGACTGAGGAGTGGGAGGGGTCAGGGTATCGGGAGGGGATACATGTCCTAAGGAAGCCGGGGCAGTTGGATTGTGTCATGAAAGTCACTGTTCTCTTCCGACCTCTAATGCTCCAGCTCACAGTAACTTGACCTACCCTCTCCTCAGGACATGTTGATCTGACCTGCCCTCGTCCCCAGGCTGCGGTGACCTGACAGTGACCTGCTCTCTGCCTCAGGTCACGGTGACATTGCACTGACCTGCCCTGCCCCTGCCCTGCCCCTGCCCCTGCCCCAGGTCACGGCGACCTGACCATCTCGGGGGTGCGCGCCGGCTGCGTGGAGCTGCTCTCCGTGGTGCAGCAGAGGGTCAAACCCAAGTACCACGTGTTCGGACACATACACGAGGGTGAGTCTCCAGTGGGGAGAGGTGGGGCGCCCGGCGGCCGGAACGAGAGCAGCTTGCTTGTTTGTGATACGAGTGATCAGGACTGATCACCGATGGACGCTATAACGCATTCAGATGCTGGAAAACCTTGTTAGACGTCATAGCTTACCAGTCTGATAGTCGTCAGTTCATGGGATGCGCAGAGGATGTGGGAAGCTCATTGGGCGACTGATAGCGTATGTTTTTGTGTGGGTTATTTTGGCGCTTTTTACTAAAATTCCGGTTCCCGAGCATCGGTCCTGAGCACTCGTATCGCATACTTCTAGTAAAATGACGAACGTGGATGCTTGCACCCGAAGGCGGCGTCCAACCGCAGCGCTCATCAATGGGGAGGGGAGGCCGGGCAGCACTGTGGCGCCACCGTCCGGCCGCCCCCGGTGCCGACTCCGAGCCGCCCAGTCCAAGCCTAGTCTGAGACGAGACACTCACCAAAGACGACAGGGACGCGGGACACTGACACGACTCAGACAGCCTAGTCGGTAATTATTCTCAGTGACGAAAGGGTTATCGTTAGGAGGCGGTGGACCCCGCGACGCTATTAGTGCAGATGTCAAATGGAAGCCGTTCACAGCTTATCGGAGGTCAATCGAACGGCTAATGCGATTGTTTACTTACCATAAATTCGTCTGCCGCTGTGTTAAAAGTCGGATGTCGGTGCTTGGCTGCGTCGTTTGTCTGTATCTCTCGGACCCGTTCCACCAGTGCAGAGCACCCTGCACCGTTTGGCTGGCGCTGTGTACGTTATCTTGACACGATACTTACGGATGGTGCGCCGAGTGAGATCGAGCTACGAGCTCGTGAACAATCCCTGCAGGTAGAAACCGGCAGCGCAGACCGATATACTGATTTGGAGAGGCTCATTAGCATCACAAACCTTAAAACCTCAAACGTATTAGCAACAAGCAACAGCTGTTATAAACGAAAAGACGAGTGGAACATCACTCTTATATAGGTAATTGCGGTTTCTTGTCTGATATTTTAAAATCGCCTTTAAGTTACTTGGTCGGTTCACCGCAATGTGCACCGTCAGACTTGTGGTGGTAGGAATGGGAGAGGGCCACTCCAAGTCATCCTAGAAATGTTCCCTTCTTGAGTGCTGGGAGGCACGTCTGAGAGGAACTGATACTGACGACTGCCTGATATTGACGGCTGCCACTTGCCCCGACTGACACTGACATCGACTGACACTGACACCGACACTGACACTGAGTGCGGCTGTACCTACTCGTGCCACGGACGAGCCGAGCTTGCACCATCGCTCGGCGGGCTCACGTTTCTCGGTCGTGTTTCTGTCGCTCCCTGTGGCCGCCGGCGGTGTCCGTGATCCGTCCGCCGGCCCCGTCACGACCGGTGACCGGCCCGGCGCGGCGCCGTGTACCGTCCCGTCCTCCCCGCGCCCGACTGCCGAGTCCGGCTGGCGGCGCCTCACGGCCAGAGACGCTGGCTGGTCAGAGAGCGGAGGGCAGGTCGATACACCCTCGGAATCTCGCTCCCTGTGGCGCTGTGGCGTTTGATGTGGTTTCGGTGGCGCCATGTTGCCGGCATACTCGGCATACCGCGTCAGACGCGTGCTTATCCCATCAGCGACACTCGATACGAGCTAACTATGCCGTGTACAGAGTCAGACATCCATCTTCCTGGAAAACGGCGTAGGCGAGAGATCTTGCATGGAGAAAGGGAACAACGCGATGCCTCATGCAATGCGCTCTTGTTTCGAGAAGTGTATATCTGTATATTTTATTTTCGCGTGGCAAGCTCCGGCTGTTTTTTCGTATAGAAAATGCGATACGATAATGTGAATATCGTTGGATAACAACTAAACTTAACACAGGAGAGAAGGTAGTTCTAAAGCAAACAAAGACATTGGATATAATAAGAGTAAATGCGACAGAACGTTTTTTTTTTTAATAAATTTAGTCGGAATTTGATTGGAAGGATTCCCAAGGACAGAGTCCCCGCTAAGCGAAGCTTGTTGCGTTGACCCTGCCCTCTGCCCTCCGATCGCGCAATTTCAGTTATATGGCAAAATTTAGAGTCCATAGTTTAACGTGCGCACAAAGCCGCGCACGGCCGGTCCCTCACTGACTTCGCCTGGCTACGGCCTGCCACCAACCGCAATCATACCTGTCAGGAGACCCATAAACGTCATGCGCACGTCGCGCTTCGAACCTGGACTGTTGTAACCGGGAACGCGTGCTCACCACGCGGAGTCCAACGGGCAACGCTCTACCAACTGAACTACGGGACCGGCTCAAAATGCGGTACATGTAAGGATTCCGCGGAATAATGAATAGCGGCTCTCGTCTTGTCTTCAAACATTCGAGAGTTGACTTTTCTTTCGGTTTACCTGCCATTTAAGTTGGTCTTCAAATGGTCGCTCATCAGGCGGCCTTCATAGCGTAACATAAAGGGCGCATTGTTGTCCGTTGGCTCGATTTGTAAAATATAGTCACTTGACTCCTTCAATTTAGGTAATGTTATCCGCTTCGGGTAGTGGGGGGTTTCCAAGCTTTCTCTGATTCCTACAGCAGTTCAGTAACAATCAAGCGTCGTAGTCATTCTGAAATCCACTTCGTCTTCAAGAAAGGTCATGCTGTACCTAAGAGTTGCGGGGCGGATCGTGGAAGGGGGGGGGGGGGCGGATTTCGCCCACCCCTCCTGTTTTTCGCCAATATTTCGCGCCGCAAACATAATATTAATGTGAAATTTTGGCTACCTGTCCAGAATTGAATTGCGGATATTCTCGAGCAAGAAATAAGAAAATCGGTTCACAACTTTTCTAGTGATAGCGGTGTAAAGTCAAACATCCTGCCGCCGCCGCGGCGCGCCGGCCGCGCCGGCGCCAGCCGCCAGCCGCCTGAATTGTAGACTGTGCCGGGGCGGGACGGTTCCGTCTTTACGACGCGCTCCTTACCGCTGGTCATATTCGATTCGCGTCAAATTTTGTGAAAAGACTAAAAAATGTACAAGCAATCTTATGGTCAAAGAATTTTGAAAATCGGCCGGTAAAAACTTGAGTTATGAGTGTGTATACACAATATTCTGATTTCCGCGTTTCCCCCGTCGGCCGATCCCGCTTCAGCCGGCGACAACTTACTCTTAGCAGGCTTCTAAGTTCTAACCGCCATATTTATTGTTGGATTAACTAGAAATTCACCATACATACTCACAAATGTATGTCCTTTTGTATAGTGAAAGAAAAAAGAAAATCGTCCCGTAACTTTTTGAGTTATCGGCGTGTAAACGCAAAAAAAAGTCGCTAATATGGCAGATTTGGCCACATTTGACCTCATTTGACCTTGAAGATATTGACCTAGGGTCATGAAATTCACACACAACAGAGTTCCCCAGGGCCCCCACCTACCCTCCAAATTTCGTATTTCTAGCTCCAGTGGGAGCTTAGATCTTAGGGGGGGGGGGGGCGGCATCCGCCCCCCCCTTCCACTGGGCGTAGTACTCGCAACCCTTCCACTGCGCGTGTTAAACGTCAGCCCCCACTTTTGCTCTGCTCCTCATTGTAAACCCCGGCTCTGCGCGGCAGGCTACGGCGTCACCACGGACGGCAAGATCGTGTACGTGAACGCGTCCACGTGCGACATCAGCTACGTGCCGTGCAACCCGCCCATCGTCTTCGACGTTACCATACCGGACGGTTTCAGCAAACACTGACACACAGCTGCAGCAAACACTGACACATAGCTTCAGCAAACACTGACACACAGCTGCAGCAAACACTGACACACAGCTGCAGCAAACACTGACACACAGCTGCAGCAAACACTGACACATAGCTACTGCAAACACTTACAGAAGGCACAAACAAACACTGACAGACGGCTTCAGCAAACTCTGACGCATTGCTACAACAAACACTGACAGACGGCGGGAACAAACACGGGCAGATGACGGGAACAAACACTGACAGACGGTGCAAACAAACACTGACACACTGCTACAAACTTTGACATACGGCTGCAACAAGCACTGACAAACGGCAGAAACTGATGACACAAACAGCTACAGGCAGCCATGACTCTAGAGATTGACTACAATAAACATGACCGAACAAACAGCTTCAACAATCACTAGCCGCACGGGGTTGGAGGGAACAGGGCTGAATCGCCAGTGTTATTGAGCACTTACAGGTCGCGCCGAATGATCCACATCAAGTGCGTGGAAATAGCGGTGTTGGCGAGCTAGAGGTGACGGTTATGGATTTTAGGAAGTATAAAGCCGAGGTGGAAGTGTTTGGGTTTGGGGAGGCTGATTCAATGGAGGCTGTTTAAATGTTGGATGGAACAGATAATGCTGATGGGTGGATTGTGGCAGGGAGAGCAGGGGCGCCGTGTCGCCGTTTTTAGCAGCACGCGCGGGCTGGCTGGCGCCTCTCGGGGCTGTGCCGATGTGGAGAGGTAAGACGGGGTGGATAAGGATTATGGAGCCAGGTCGATACCGTGCATTGTGCCCGCCGCCACTGCCCGCTCGCCCCGTCCATCCAGTCGGGTATACGGACCTTGGGCTTGCCACATGTAGAACAATGTGATACCGCCCTACGTGTTTTGTACGACGAGTGAGCATCGAAGTGGCGCTATGTTTACAATATTGGTCAGTCAGAACTGCTTTGAGTCCAATTTTGCGGCATTATATTTTATTTGGCGCCTGATGATGGCATCAAGGCTCTGTGTTCGCTCATACTGTGTGAATCGCCGTGCTGACTGGTAAAGCCGTGCGATCGTTGCGTGCAATAATGCTTACATAGTAGCTGGTGGGCTCCAGGTTTTTATACCGTATAGGTATAATGTGCTGCACGCGGCGATCGGGTCCCAATGTCATACTGAGTGTGACTGTAAGCCATTGGAACGATGTATGTAATTGGCCAGTGCTGTGGAAGGCGGCCAGTGCCGTTGATTTACTTTTTATTCCACGTATGTAGCATTATGTTGAAAATACATACCTACAAGCAAGTGGTATGGTTTGATGTTTACTTTTTGGACGTGCTGAGAGAACTGGGAGCCTTTTCGCGACGGTCTATCTCTCGAACCGTAGACAGAATGCACCCGACGCGGTTCGTGTGGAATGAGGTGTTTTCCCGATAATTGGTATGCCTAGATAGCTTGTCACATACGACGCCACGAATTTCCGAAAGGAAAATCACGCCCCATCTAATCTTGGCCACTTACTAAGACGTGCACGATCATCTCAGTAATAGGCGTGTTCCTGTAGTTGTATTTGCATGTGATAATTGCTAGCGTGTGACCACTGATGATACCTCTGTACAGTGTACCTACAGCCAACACGTGATCATCATCTTAGATGAACTAAGAGATGACGAGTGATTCCAGGAAACGTGCTTTTGGGCTTATGGAGTGGTGAGTCGTCATTAGAATTAGTCGAGATTAGCAGACCACATCCATACTTGATGGGTGCCGTATAGTTGCGTGACATCCCCGATCCGTCCTCAGACGTGTTTCATGCCATTCCGTCGTCTAATTGTCATCCATTTTTCACATAGTTGTGGCGACAAGTGTCTTGCATTGACTGCTCTCCGCTGTCGCTAACGGGAACATTTAATGACCAAGGTCATAAGTTTCTTTTGTCGAGGCATGTTTTCATAAAAAGGAGGCGTCGTAATGCTGCCAGTTCATTTCAAGGGATTCGGAATTAAGATGTTTATCTTTTCTTGGTTCTTGTAATTGGTTGAGGTGCATCATTTTTATTCGAGGTGTCGGGTTTAACCTGGATAACTTCTCCAGGAAAATGATTATCATGATTCTAAGATTTGCTAGACAAAAAGGCATTTTCTGGAGTACGACCTGGCAATATTACATCTACATATGATAATCTCGGCAGTATCATACATCGAGGATCGGACTCGGAGATTCGTCCGTTCGTTGTATAATCACCAGCCAGATTTTGGCACGCCAGGCGAACGGAGCCAGATCGTGACGGTACTGGGTATCGGCTCCTTCGCCGCTCACGTGTTTTCGCCTGTGGCCGACTGTCGTATCGCGGCCTCTGCCGACTAGGTACAGCTGGTAGGTGGCGTCCCTCGGCGGACCGGGCGCCGGGCACGACGGCCTGACTGCAGCTGCCGGAGCGGACACGACTCGCCACCCCCGGCGGACACGACTCGCCACCCCGGCGCCCGGACGGAGAGCCGTGTGACGAAACGCGCCGACTGCAAACACTGAATGGAGTTTATCTCATTCCACATCCGCGTCCCATGCTAAGGCGGCGTCCGTCTGTGAGGCGGCTGGGCGCCACGGGCCGGCGCGGTGGCGGCCCGCCAACGGTCCCCATTTTATCGCCCAGGTGGCCGCCACCTAGATCGGCAGCCGCGTCACGACCGCGCGCCACCGGCTGACGAAACAGAGTGGCCCACGGGGGGACCGGACTGACGGCGTCAGTTAGATCACCGGCCCCGACCGAGCCCGTCCCAGGCCCTGTCTCCCCTCCGGGCAGAGGTCTGTCCGTGACCGCTCCTCTGCCTCCCTCAGGTCACTGGCACCGTCCCCGTCCCGGACTTATTTCCTTTCGGGCCACTGACCTCCCCTCGACCAGTGGCCGTTCTCCGTAACATAAGAAAACTATGAAAAATCTTATTCGAGGATGGCGGTGTAGATATAGACTATGGATCGTGGAGATTGGATAAGAAATGATTTACACACAGCTACTGAGTATCTTTGAAAGAAGAGTCTCTACAAATTTCGTCGTATTTCTCTATAAGTGGACTGTTCACCTATCTTATTAGGTCTTGTGTAGCTCAAGTCTGGGCAGCGTTGCAGCCACCAGTGACAAGCGCAGGGTCTTGCGGTGTCTACTGTCAAACCTCGCCCACTCCGCTACCAAATAGCGCATGATGTATGAACTCTAAGCGACTGATTCCGGCACGATACGCCAGTATCCATTACTTTCAGCCGATGGTGCGTCTGTACACTTCCAATCGCGGTCAACCGAGCAGTGGTTTATGCTAATGGTGAGTTGCCTGTATTCGGCAGCTCTTTTGAAAGCCGTGGGTGCGGTATGATGTGCGCAGAGCGGCGCCAGTCGACTTTTGGAGCCGCTTGGGGCGCCGGATACACGGCCTGATGTCATGACCGAGACGACAGACGGCGGCGTACCGCAGGGGCCGGCCGCCGCTCCCCCGATATTGACAATGTGTCTGATAAGTGGAACATATCGCTGTAAATAATAAATCTGCTGATCGGTCTGTACTGCAGTGTGCCCGCCAAACCGTTACAGGTGCCTTCTCAGAACGCTGGCTCTCGTATGTAAACAACACTGAGAGCTTTGTCGGAAAATCTCTTTTGGAGAAAACATATATTACTTCATACGCTTCAACTATAGATAGGAAATTATGGATGACATTAAAGCTACCGCGTTTTAATGTTGATATTCTCTGCCAGCTCTACCTTTGGTCATCCTATTTGCTGCCGGAAGTCATGGCGATGATGATTTCACGGAAGGTTTCTCACGGACGCTGCATGAAACATCCGCGATAAAACGACACGGTAGAAGCCTAAACGCAATAATGCCAATAATCTCGCAACCTGGTTTTTCCAATGTGAGCTAAAAGGAACTACAGTAATTGAGATGTAAGCATGCAAGGTTTCAAAAGAAAGGGCTCTTTCAAAACTTGATTGTATTTTCGTAAAAGTCAGGATTAATCCCGCAAAAGTGTGTCGGATTGGTTGGATTTTGGAGCAAAAGGAGATTTAGATAGTCATGGTATTTCGCTTTTAATACCTAATAGCCTATCAGCAATCCAGTGCGATCATATCTGGCATAATATTTTTGTGATGAAAGACGATTAAAAATTAAATTTGAATGTGCCAGATGTTTGCCTTCATTTCAGATGATGTATAGAACAGAATCAGACTCCACTTCCTTTTTTTTTTAATCTGATGATTTGCTGGGCTCGTAATTGTTACATACCTACATATAAAATACAACCATTTTTGTGTCTTTAGTTGATGAACTTATTGCTTACATGTCATTACTCTGATGACGACCAATTTATTGACGTTTTAATGAGTTCGTTGCGCGCAAATGTCTTACCGTTACGTAATTGTAAGCCCTATTTTGTGTTGCGCTAATGCACATTGCTCAATGCACATTTACGTTCACTCCGGTCATAAACACATTGGATATGCCGGCGAAACATTGATCGGAAGCCATTATGCTAAGTTTTTGACAGAGCTATCTGGCGGACACCATATCGAGCGGGCTGGAGGTCCGAGCTCTCTTTGATCATGGCTGGTAGCCGTATATACCGTAACTAGTCTCTCAGACGGTCAACGTACGGCACCGTGCTGCATCACAATGTGTGGTGGGTGGGACGGCCGCCGTCCGCAGCTGGGCCGCGGCCCCCAGTTCCGCCCTGTCTCTGTATATGGCGATCGGACGCGGCCGTCCGCCGGGACTGCTCTGTATGCCGCCGGCGGGGGCGGACCGCCCGGTGGCGTACCCTCAGATCTGCCGCCGCGCCGTCCGCCGGTGGTCCGACCGGCCGACATACGCCTGTCGGCCCATTTCGGACGCGCGCTGGACAATGGGCCCGTGAAATCGGCCGGGGGTGCGCCGGCGCCGCGCCCGCGCTCTGTCCGACACGACCCGCTCCTCCGCGAAAAGGTGCGCCCTCTTCGACAGGTCCTCCGCATAGGTGATGCTGCAGAAGACGATAACAGGGCCCTGTATTTCGTCAGCCAAAAAGGGGCTATAAATCAGTCTGTCATTTCTATTGCAGCTTTCTGCCTGAATTTCGGTACATTTCAAAGTACCACTCAAATCGAAATATACCAGTTTCTTCAAGGTTTTTGGATATTGTGTTTTAAAGATGATACAGCGAACCGATGAGTGATGCAAGTAAAAATCAAGGACATTTTTTCGTCCAGGCGTGAGCGACTTAAATGTTGCGAAACAATTAACGTTGATATGGTCGATGCTACGTACTTCAGACTGGGTCCAGGAGCTTATTATTTCTGACGGCCGACGGGTATGTGTGAGCTTCTACATAAAACCCTAGTAAAATTATAACACTTCACCTTCAATCAGATACCAATGAGTTATTATGCTAACGCTATTTTATTGCACTCTCACTGATATAACAAAAGGGTTGCAAATAAATGGTGAAAGATCACTGCCGACGCGAGTAGCACCATACCGTCCGCGTGTCGGTCCGTCGGCGGCCTGTGAGTTGGTGTGTCGGTCCGTCGGCGGCCTGTGAGTTGGTGTGTTGGTCCTACGGCGGCCTGTGAGTTCGTGTGTCTGTCCGTCGGCGGCCTGTGAGTTGGTGTGCCTGTCCGTCGGCGGCCTGTGAGTTGGTGTGCCTGTCCGTCGGCGGCCTGTGAGTTGGTGTGTCTGTCCGTCGGCGGCCTGTGAGTTGGTGTGTTGGGACCTTGATCAGGTGATCGGGGAGGGAGCGCGCCGGCCGGCCGGGGATCCGGCTCCGTGACTGAACAGAGTGCCGCCGCCGATCGACTCTGACGGCCGTCACATTCCCACAGAGGGACCGACAGACCGACGGAGGGACAGACTGACTCCCTCCGACGGCCGTCACATTCCGACAGAGGGACCGACAGGACAGACTGACGGAGGGACAGACTGACACGGAGGGACGGCCGACTGCCTCTGACGGCCGTCAGATTCCGTCAGACCGACGGACGGACAGATAAAATAAAAGCAAGGGATTGACTAAGGAAGAAATGTCGCATCTCACTGCGGCTACGTTTTCTTGTTACAGTCAACTATAAAAAGGCTGCTGGATGTAACAAAAGTTTATGCTTGGGGAGTCCGCCTTCCGTTACCACCCATTCATCCGTTGGAGCTTATTTTCGGAAGAAAAGATAGTAAAATAAAATCGCATCCTGAGCAAATCATTGTGAGGCGTTGGGCGCACCGCGCAGGTGACGTTTCTCTGACCGCTCAAGCAGTGACGTCACACAGCTCGGGCAGTGCCGGCGGCC